TTCTGTGAAGAATGATTTTGTAAAAAAGTGATTCTGAGAAGTGAGAGTGTTTGGATAGTTGTTATCAGAAGCACTTTTTATATATACAAATTACTAAAAAAAAGACATAAGTTAATATGATAATTACAAAAAAAAATAGATTTTATGATATATTTTAATTTGAAGGAATAAAATTTTTAATAATATATTTTTTACCAACATAATTAATAATACATAAGATAATATAATTAATAAATAATTAATATGTATATATATTTATAAAATATAAGATTAAATATGTTTATAAAAAATGTTTATAAAAAAAACAAGATACATATCCTATAGGCTCTCACACTCTCCCTTTTTTCTCCAAAGCAAAAAATTTTGCTTTTTCCAAAACCATGGTTTTGACCCAAAACCATGGTTTTGGTTTTTGGGTGGGTGTTTGGGTGATTTATTCCCCAAACCATGGTTTGGGTTGTCACCCAAACACACCCTTACTCTTATCGTTTCGTTCCCGAAGAGATGTACTAGAACGAATTTTTGTAAGTTCAAAAATATCATATCATTACAAAAATGTGAACTTTAATTACATTTCATAAAACCTGATTCATATGAGTTTTGACGAGTTAGATAAGTTTTATTATCACTATTTCTTAGGCCACCTTTTTTGTTTTTTTGTTTTTTAGTCAATCAAATTAGAGTAAGGATCGGTTTACTGATTTTACTGTCAAATTAATCGGTTGGATTTGTGCTTGACTATTATATTGACATAATTAAGTATTGAAATTAAATTATTAATACAAAAATAAATCACCTTTCAACAAGATAGACTCATATTGGTAATGAGATTTGAATCCACAACTTTATAAGTTATAGTTAAGTTAAATTCCTAACAATTGGATCAATTTTTGTTGGTTAAGTTTTGTCCTTAAATTGGTCATACCTGACTATGATACGCAATTTATTAATTGTTTAAATAGAATATATTTTGAAGCAATTATGACATAATTAAAGAGAAAAAAAGAAAGAGTGAACATAAGGGTTGAGATGGTAATGGGCATGCTTTTTGACTAAGGGACACCTTTCAAATTTGATGCTTATCTATTAATTGAAAGTTTTGAGAGGAAAAAATCAAAAGGAAGAATGATTCAGAGTGGAATTTGGGAAGGAGCAGACAAAGAACATGATCATTGAAAATTTTCAAAATTAATGGTAGTGGTTGGAATTAGATGGTGTGTGATGGTGTCATTGTTTTGGTTTTTTGTGGTGTTTATGATTAGTGTAATTATTATATCTATCATCATAAAAATAAAACCCATCAAAATATATAGCCTATTACTTATTTATTCCATATATATTGCAAACTTTAATTTGGTGGGGTTATGTGTCCCCCCTCTCTGATGAAACCCTCTTTTTGGTGGAAAAAAAAAAAAGAAACCTTCTTTTTCTTTCTTTCTTGTTTTTTTTTCAACTTTTTGGGATTATGGTCAAACAAGTATTTCTTATGTGGGATAGTCTAATCTGTTTGGCCTTTTTTTTTTAGTGTGGATTCTTTTCATTTTCAATAATTGCGCATTTAGGTTAAATAAAATGGTTGGCAAAATTTCCCCAAAAATGATTTTAAATGATAGTACAATTATCTCTAATGCCTTTTTTTAAAAAAAATAAATCTTAAGGACTTGTCATTCCAAGTAATATTGCTATAAAAAGTAGACCCTTTTAAAGATGTCTCCAACGCAGTAATATCAATAGAAAACCAATAATAGTTATGTGAAGTGAAAAGAATTAGATTCCCTTTGCGTAAGGTCAATGATTCAAATCGTATAAATTAAAAAAACAAGTTATGTTAGAAAAAAAAAAAACTCTCAATCAAGCATGAGAATGCTTAAATTTAACATGATAATACAAAATATTGGGTAATTGTATAAAATATGATCAGAAATACTACCTTCGGTCTTTAATATAAGAACTCATTTAACTCTTATTTTGGTTCTAAATATATGACCATAATCTACTTTGTTTATCATATTTATCCATTTTTTTCAAAGTTGTTTTTGTAATAATGGTAGGTCTAGCCAATACATTTGATTAGTAATATTTTAAGAAAGACAATACTTATTTATTACAAATAACTAATTTAACTAATTTTTTTAGTCTACTCAAATTAGTCAATCAGCTTTTATATTAACTTATTAAGGATTGGAGATAGTACCAACTATTTAATTTTTTTCTAACAACTATTTCATTTACCACAATCTCATATCTAGAAGTAATCATGTTATGTTATTGCTACGAAACTTTGTTGATAATTTGCTCCTATAAGAGCTTTTTGAGCCATAGGCTTGTATCCTTATGAGTCATGAGCTTAATTCATCAATTTTTTTTAAAAATAAAATAAAATATGCTATGTAAAAAAGAAAATAGTACTGATAGATAGTAATTGATTTCTTTCTCTTTACCCTCTCTCTGATATCCCCAATCACTTTATTAAAAATAAATTAATTACTGTGAAGGCGTGGCAGATATGGACTCAAAAAATAGAATAGTCTCCAGATAGAATATGGGTCCATTTACTTTTGCGTTTATTGGTAAAAACAAAAAAAGGAAGATAAAAAATTGTGGAATCCAAACAAATTTGCTGAGTCAATTGTGAAATTAAAGTCACAGATTGCGTACGAGGACAAAACATTTGTTCTTCCTCAAAATCTTTGTGAGAATTGAATTCCCATTAGCCACGTCAATCTCCACAGACTTCACTGCCTATTTGGAAAACCCAAATCTCACAGCCAATAATTCATCATATCGGCAAAAAAAAAAAAAAAAAGAAACCAATTCAGAAGATTCTTCATTTTGGCAAAAAGATGAAAAATAAGTTTCAAAACCTTTTTTTTTTTCCCCTGGAGTTCATTTCATTGACCTATGCTCTTCTAGACTTTAGTTTACTCACAATAGATTAATCGATTTTATGATACTACGTAAAATGGAAGTACATGACTTTTTTTTTTTTAAATTTTCTCACCAGAGGAAAAAATAACAAAAGATTTGGTCAATTTAGGACCAAAATAAAAATCAAACAAAGTCTTAAAAGATTGGAGGAAGTAGTTTCATTATTTCCTTGCATGTCATGTACATCTCCTCAATTCATAAGGAGTCACTTTCCATTTTTTTTATAAGATCATTTTTTTTTATGCGATTCTTTGATGAAATTTTTGCCCGTGAGAAATTTTGGCTCAATACCTACCTAAATGATAAGTTTAAGTTGAATTTGAGATTCACTTGAGTGATAGTTTTGATATTCTATTTAACAAGAAATTTGAAAAAAAAAATAGATATAACTTTTGAACTATTTTAGCCACCATTTTTGATTGGGAAAGGCCAACCCACTTATTTCTGGCTCAAGTACACCAAAATAAGTCAATTTCTTTGTACTACACAAAATGGAAGTACTTGACTTTTTTTTTTTTTAAATTTTCTCACCAGAGGAAAAAATAATAAAAGGTTTGGTCAATTACGTATAACTAGGGAAACTACGAAAAAAAGAAATCAACGCCAAAGAATTTATGGTCCACACAACAAGATTAAAGTCCAAACAACATTAATATTGTTTGGAAAATTAATGCCATGCACTTGTTGTCAACTTTATTTGAACTAGTGTTCCTGGAAACTGTACGTTTCATTATGTGATTCACATTATTTGTTTTGATTAAAGATGAATTAACTAAAAAGCCCCTACCATATAGCAAATATAAATGAAATTAATTATGATTAGTACTCCACATTTTAACTATCATTATTTTATTTTATCACTAGTGAATTGAGAGGATCCAAGTGATGAGATATAACTCAATGTTCACTTCATCTTCAAACTGCAGCCTGAATTATTTATGAAATACATATTTTTTTACCATGAGTTATTATGGAATCTTTCCAAAATTTGGGAATTTTACAGCTTTCATTAAGCTAGCTAGCGTCAAAGCCTTTGGGGTTCATTCCCACAAGTCTCACCGACATGGCAAAGCTAGATGTCCCTGCTGAAGAGAACATAAAAAACTAACTACAGATAGAAACAAAAAAAAAAGGACAAATAAAGAGTGATTACACGAGTTCCAGAGATCGCCATTAAGGGTGGAAACAGGCCAGGCCAGGCCTTGCTCTTAACAGGCCAGGCCTGTTTTGGAGCCTATTGGCCTGAGCCTGGCCTGTGGCCTGTTACAGGCTTATTTTTCAGCCTGAGCCTGGCCTGAAGCCTGTTAAAAGACCTGTATTTTTAAAAAATTCAAATTATAATTATTATTTTTTTAAAAAAGCTAAGATTAAAAAAACGTACATAATAATTTAATTTTTAGTCTTGTCTTTTATTTAAATTTTAGTATCATAAGTACCATTTTAAATCTTAATTATAATTTATAAGAATATTATTGAAAACTAATTGTAATTATATGTTAAAATTTGGAATAAGACTACGTTTAAGTACACACACAAAATTAAAATTGAGACAAATAAATAAAGAGGAAAAAAATACTAATTTTATAATGAATAAAGAGGATATCATACTTAAATTAACATAATACGTAAGTTAGTTAATTTATCATTCTCGGAACAAAATTTTTCTTTCCTATTTTCTTTATATTTTTAAGATTTAAAAATCACATTATTTATTGATATTATTATTTTAAATTATATTTTTATCTTCACTTGTCATCTAAACTTCAAAATCTAAGAAAAGATTAAGCTATTAACTATATATTAAAATTAAAAAATAAATTAAAAGAGCACATTAACAATAATAGCATTAATTAATTTTTTCATATATTATAATTATAAATTCTTAACAGGCTCAGGCCGGCCTAACAGGCTTAACAGGCTTTTTAAAAAGCCTAAGCCTGGCCTGTTTAACTAAACAGGCCTTCAAACAGGCCTGAGCCTGTCTTTTTTGAGAAACAGGCCAGGCCAGGCCAGGCCAAATACAGGCCAGGCCATAGGCCCCTGACAGGCCGCCTGGCCTGTTTCCAACCCTAATCGCCATCACTAAATCCGAATATACATACAAAGTTTTATTTACAATCACCTAGCAGAAACAGACATTGTATCCACAACATCTAGGTGAACTCATCTGGCCTTAGTACAAGAAAATATAGTCATTATCCCTCTAGGAAGAGACAAACCATAAGTAAGTAACTGCTATTCATTCAAATAATAGCTAGTATCAGTGATTTTTACTGGTGGAGGACCTATAGACGAAATCAAAAGAATATCTGAATGCTCCATTCAGTCTCAAAACAGACTTCTGTATGTGAAGCTGGGGGCATACATATCTGTTGGAGTAATTCATGAAAGAAAAACGTATCTCGACAAAACAAACATATCACTTCCTTGCATCATATTCATCAGCTTTTCGACCAGTTTATGCTTTCCACTCTTGAAGAACCCACATGCATAATACGGAATTAACATGCCTATAATAAGTAACTTGATCACCCCAAAGTTTGCGAAGCCAGCAAGCTCAGTTCCCAGCAGCTGTGTCATTTCTGAACTGTTTCAGGAGGGGGAGGAAGCAGAAGGCAGAGCCTACTTCTGTATCTTGAAATTCGCCGTAATCGTTCTTCCCTTAATCTGTAAACAATGAAGACAGCATGCATGTCAAAATCTATCATTCTATTTGGCCACCAGACCATGTAGGAACAGTGTAATTAAATGCTGGCTGAATGAAACATTCTGAATCAATCTCAAACAAGAAGCAATCTTATTCTGTATTTAATCAAAGGTAAGAAAGAGGATTTAAGTACTTCCTTGAGCACTTTGTGGCTTCTTTGAATAATGGCCCTGGAGAAGAAATACAGTTAAGGAGTTGTAAAAACATAAAATCACTGCAAGTGATACTTCATATATTGTTTTTCGTCAGAAGTTCTGAAACACAGTACTTGTAGAATTTGCTTTGATAAGGAGAGGTCTACTCTTATTAAAATAGAACTTGTAAACAACGCGAATGTGAAAGTAAACAAACATGCACGCAAATATGTACATGTTTATATGTTGATAAAAGTATGAGAGTACATGAAATCCCCAACGTTATCATGTTGAAATACCAATATAATATATATAATGTATTAACAGAAAAACCAAAATACAGATATTTCTAATATAGGTTTATTGGGGCATACGTCATGGTATCACTATAGATAAATGCATGTTTAAAGTATTATGTCAACTTGGTCATGAAATGTGCCGACGGCAGTCCTTAAATACGTACAATGACTAAATAAATCATAAGGTAAGCCCCAAAGAAAAAGGTAGAAACCTTACCTTCCTCTGACCCTTTTAGAACGCTTGATATGCCACTGCAATATATCTCGTGGAGTCAAGTTTTCAACAGATTTCTCATCCTGGAAGCAAAACTGAGCATATATCAATTCTCAGATAAGAATTGATTAGTAAAATAATTTTATTTTTGATGTAAGCACCACTAAAAACTACACAAGAACTGAGTTGTCCTATCAAACTTGTTCAACAAGGCTAGTTGTGTTGAAGAAATGTTTTCTCCCATTTTTCATGTAAATAAAGCTTTTCATTCGACAGAATTTTGAATGCCTAGATTAAAAGCTGATAAGAAAACTTTACCTCTTGCTCTTCTTCAACTTTCTTGTTCGACATATAACTGCACATCACTGATGCTGCTGGCAAGGGTTTGGGAAGTTCCTTTATGACATCTTTCTGTTGTACCTACAAAGTATAGTGATATATGAGATATTAAATATGAATGAAAATATACATAAAAGATAAAAGGTAACCATCAACTAATCTCCAAAAGAATGCCATTGGTTATGATAAGCAATACAACTAGCCATGGTAAATCACAAGGAAAAAACTACAAGCTAACTATATCCAGCCAACTTTTGGAAAGACTAGACTTCCATCTACTTCTCCTGAGTAGTCCCCTCGTCCTTCTCCCAACAAGTCTTTACTACAAAGGCTGCTATCCCTGAGTACCCAAACATACTAGGGCTGAAGTCTTTGATTAATTTTAACTCAACCTAACAAAGAAGTTAATAAACTTGTGCAATAAGAAATTACCCCTGCTGAGCAACAAGCTCTTAGCGAAACCAAAAACTTGCGATTGGACGAAAATATAACCAAAAATTACAGCAACCTTAATAAGATTTCAAACAATACAACAAATGAAAACACCAAAACCTTAATCTCAGCTTTTTTCCTTCTCCAGGAAAACCCAGAACTCCGTGAAACATCACAATCCACACAAAACCAATGATCGAAAAGATGTTGGGAAGGCCATTCATCCATTTTTGGGCATCTCATCATGCTCAATAGCTCTAACGCACTAAGAATGCTACAAATAAGGGTTCTGAGGTTGATGAAACTTTCTCTGGTCCAAAAGGACCTTGTCAAAAAACAGAAAAGAATCAAGTACCAGAGCTAGCTGGAGATACTTGAGGAACAGATATTTACTGGAGAAGAAGCTGAGCTCAGGACCTGAAAAATACAATATACTGAAAGGCTATTAATTTTTTTTTGGTCTCTGACAAAAAGACTCTAATACCATGTAAAATTCAGAAATATGGTTTTGCGCGCACGCCTAACCCTCTCACACACAGGAGCCCCTCCCCCCTTATTTATAACTATGCAAAGAACGAACTAAACTACAATTAAACGAGGACTGCTAAATAATAACAAATTCTATATAATGATAAACTTGAATTATGGAATCCATTAAGAATTGAACTTGAATAAGTTTCTCAAGGAATTCTTTAAAAATAAATGGAAGCTTAAACATAGCAATAATTTGACCATAGTTGATGTTTTCACAAAATGTCAAAAGAGTGTATAATCTATAATGTAGTAACCATGGGCGATAACATCTTTTCCTCAAATTTTAAAAATGATCAATCTGGGAATATGGTGGAAGACTTAGTAAGTCAGATTTACGTGCATGAACTCAGCAGCTGAAGCGAAATGGTTAAATAAGAAGTTCGAAAAATAAGTCATACCTGCCAATCTTCATACGTAATATTCCTTAACCATGATCTACAAAGCGCATACAGAGAAGCATCCTCTGTTATTCTGACCTAAAAATTTGAAATGGAATGTAATGAACAATTGAACACAAAAGCAAAAGCAATAAAAAAAACCGTGACAGAAAGATAAAATGCTAAGTCAATGTATCTTTTATTCTATTTCACACAAAACAAAAGAATTTCTTGTCACCAGAAATCGAATGTAAGTGAATTTCTCCAGATCGTACGGCAATCCCTCTACTGTGGGACATCTAAATTGCATAACATAAAAACCGATCTCAAGGAATGTGTGCTCACATTTCTCCCTTTGACGATGATAAGATTGTGATCTCTGCTTCTGTCCCTAAGAAACACATCATGGAGCTATCAATTCGACTACCTTAGCTCAGGGAAAAAATGACAGAATAGGAAAATGTATATATGAAATACCAAGTGCAAACTAACCTTCTATCTTTATAGCCATCGCCATTAGAAGTTGTAGCTCGAGGAGCAACCTAAAACAAAGAGGGAACAGAAAGCTTTATAATTAGCCTGATAATTCAGATTGAATGAAGCTTGTGATACTGATCTAAGGAACGGCCTATTATTCTTCTACAGTCAGTTATAAGACAAAAAATTGTGACCAACGAGAAGCAGCGGCATCTACTGTCAAACCTTCGTATGTGACGAAACCGGGACACCGTTAACAGCAGAACCCAGATGTGGGTACCGTGAATTGTGCAGACCAGTCATCAACGGATGGTTCAAGTAATCCAACTGAGGCGAACTCCTGGCCCGAACATGATGGGGAAATACAAGAGACGGAGGCACGTAACCACTGCCACCGTGGGTCGACACGGCGACCATCTGATCCGTCGAAAAGGGGCAGATACCTTTGGGGACAGGGGGTACGGACAATTGAGAATTGGGACGGAAGTTTGGGGATCGAACAGGGAGCGCTTGAGCTGCGTAGAGGGATTGAGATGGGAAATGGAGGGCTTTGTGGAGTTGGGGGGGATGAGGAGGAGGTTGAGGGAGTGGAGATGTAGGTGTAGGTGACGATGGTTGTGAACTCATCAAAGAACGAGAAGGCGCGACCATTGTGGTGGCTGTGTCGGCGGTAACAGATGTAAAGCCAGCAGAGAGCGCAGTTGCGACAGCGGTGGCATTGACGGTGGTGGCGCGATTAGGATCGACAGGCATGATGGAGGGGATATTTGAAAGGCGCGATCAGTATGACATTTGAAAAGCAGAGAATAGCGTTGCTCGTCTATGAATTCAAAGTTCAATCAACCGACAATTAGACTCATGGTTTAATGATATTGAAAGTGTGCTTTTTGTGGTTTTTTTTATTTTGGGGGGGGGGGGGTAATTAGACTTATCAAATCATAAATAATTGATAGAATCCAAATCCCTAATTGAATTGGACTAAAACCATACTAATTAATATAATGTGAATGCGATGAATATAGAATATAAAATTGATCATAATGATATTATTTATAAATTCTATATAATTTCGTATTTCATGTCGGTTTTTAATATAAGAAATAGTTAACTAATTTAAATAGATTAAGAAAATTTAATTTGTTAAATTAGTTATTTGTAATAAATAGGTATTGTTTTATCTAAAATACCTTTGCTATGTATTATCTAGAACTACTATTGGATAAAACTTTCAACATATGTAATTAGTATAAGAACTATTTTTTAAAAAAATAAATAAATACGAAGGACAAAGTAGATTGCGATCTCATATTTAGGATTGAAATAAAAGTCAAACCAAATTTTATGTTAATGTCGAGGGAGCTAGTATATGGAAAAATATGTGTCTATGCAACCAGATGTGAGCTTCTCTAGCTAGCATTGTATGATTAATTGATCAATAAGCCACATAACTCATAGCTGATGTATGAGTACGGTGATTGATCTTTATAACTAGCTACTCAATGCCTTCGTCAGTTTATTTTGTGCAGCAAACGACGTCGTCTCTCATTAAAATTATAATTATAACGTGTCATGATACATCATTACACCATACATGAGCACAGAACCAAAAGCCAACGAACAGGCGTGGCTTCATTATTTGGAGTGACTTATTTTTATTTAGTAGTAGTTGTGGTAGAAGTTATACGTTCAGACTCATCGTCATCCCAGCTGGGAGGCTTCAAGATATTTAATTATATCATCGTCGTCCTCTGCCCCCCGCCGCCTCCCAACTTTTGTAGTTGATGATTCAGTCGGAGTCGCTGCCGCTGCTGGCGTCGCTGCAGCTCCTGTTGCCGTCACGGTGCTTGTTGTGGTTGCGGTGAGAGCGAGAGCCGTGCTTAGCTTTCATGGTCGCCTTGTGAACGTTTCCATATTGATCAGTTGAACATGCGTTGTTGTGGTGGCCGTGACTTCCATAGCCGCCATATCCACCGGTGCCGCAGTTGGCCGGAGTTAGGCCACCGCCGGGGCCATACTGACCCATCTGGTGGTGGTTGTTGTTGTGGTGGTGAACTGGCAGGGACTGGCCATGGCAGAGAGCCTGGTTGCTGTTGTGGTGGTGAACTGGCAGAGACTGACCATGGCAGAGAGGCTGGTTGGCGTTGTGGTGGTGGGGGTAAGGTTGTTGTTGGTTGCCGCCATGGAGGACCCTGCCAACCATGTCAGAGACCTTGTGGGTGAGTGACGAGTTGCCATGGTGTTTGGTCTCGCAGGTCTCACTGCAACTTCTGTAGCACTGCATGGAGGCCATGGCTTGCTTCTGATGATATGCAGACTCTCTCAAAGGGGCTTATAAGGTTTACTTGTTTGCTTGTTGCTCCGATGACACTTCAGACATCCTATATATAGAGGGCCAAAAATATTCTTTTTTGAAAAAATATTATTATTTTGTCTGATAATAATTGGTGGGTGGGAATATACTTTTTGTTTTTTTTCCCCCTTCTTCTTCCCATCATGTTTGGACCATACCCTTTGAATCTGCTTTTTTCTGGTACTTAGCATCAGAAAACATGAGAAAATTAATCATTTACTTCGTGTAGTCTTCATTTAGTTTCAAATTAGTTCTTAAATTTTATCAGTGTATTAAGTCAGGGCATGTTTAAATTAACATTGACAAAAATAACTTTTATTTCATCTTATTTTTATATAATGTGATTTATGCTGTATAAGTACTTTTTATTAAAAAAGAGTGATTTTGACAAAAAACATGTTTGAATAATACTACCTTCAGTCCTTAATATAATATGTTATTTGATTTTTATTTTGGTTCTAAATATAAGATTCCAATCCATTTTGTCTCTTATATTTATGTATTTTTTTTCAAGGAAGTCCTTCTAATAACAGTAGTTCTAACCAATATACTTGATTGACAAGGATATTTTAGAAAGAGAATACCTATTTATTACAAATAACTAACTTAATTTTTTTTCTTAATCTACTCAAATTAGTTAATTAGCTCTTATATTTAGGACTGAAGATAGTATATTAAAAGTTCAGTCTCAGAAAATTTAAATTAAAAAAAAGAAAAAAAAGGTCAGAAAGTCATATATGGGGGGGGGAGTTACTTCAACTGCCTTTTTGGGGGGAAAATCAGGTGCCTTTTACGTCATGTCAAACATATTTTTTTCCATCTAATTTGAATCTGAAGTGATTTTCTAGAAGTTAGTTTACCCGGTTCCAAACAAACTGATTTTCTCAAAAAAAAAAAAAAAAGCATATACGGGTGCTTGTTGGAGTAATATTTTATGTTATGTTGCAAGAAAAGACGAATTCCAAGCAGTGTGATGGGCACCGAATTAATTCATTTTCCATTCACTTGGATTCTTTGTGCACTAATGCTCAAATCCACATTGGACGGTGTTGTAAACTCCGGCCACCAACCCAAAAAAAATCAGCATACACACACAAATACAAAAACACAAATATATTATACTTTCCAGTACCAAATATAAGATATATTTTATAGGACAAATTGCAATATAAAAGAGATATTAGGAAAGTATATCAATTTGCATATATGAAAATGTCCCCTTAAGAAATTCCAAGAAGCTGTCATTTCATTATCTTCAATTGAGCAGAGAATTGATTCCCTTTGCAGATGGCAATATATATTTGTATATATATATATGTATGTATTGTTTGCCTTCATGCAGAATATACAAGAATAAGCTCTCTAATTTCATGGCCAAACTGATTTGTCCTCTGCGCACTTCTAATTACTCAGTCTTTTTTATGTGAAATTGAAGGGCCATTTTTCAATATCAATATTCTATGAAACAATATAAAATGTAAAATAAAAAAGGAGCCACAAATTACTTTATTTATTATTTATAAATTGTGAACAATGCTATTTCATCTTAAATTTTACGCAAATGCTTTAGATTTAATTGTTTATTAATTCTAATTACTTAAATGATGAGACTTATCTACACAGTTATTTCACTGAAACTGTTTATTAATTCTTTGCACGCCTTACCTTATATTAATTATTTTAGTATATATTGCAATCTGGGCTTCAAACATTAATTATTTGAGCCCACTACTAATTGGGTTTCGCCCATTAGGACTTTATGCTCCTTTCGCAAACACGTCACACTTCGAAAGCAAAATCCATAATCGATTGGGTCTAGCCGTCCAGTAGAAGGGTTAGGTGCCCACAATATTGCGAACAATGTTCTTCGCCAATGTGCCTATTTTTTATGACCAATAATACTTCAAACACGATTATTTCTAAGAGGAGATACTAGTTGCTAGCCTTAAAAAAAAATCAAAATCTATTTATATATTACTAGTTTTGGTTCTTAATATAAGAGCTAGTTTGACATTTAACTTGATTCTAAACATAATATTCTAATCCACTTTGTTTTATATTTATCTATTTTTGTTCGAGATAATCCTTGTAGCAGTTACACATATTAGAAGTTTCATCAAATGATAGTTTTAACTAACACACATGATTAATAAAGTTATTTTAGAAAAAACAAGACTTATTTAATACAAATAACTAACTTAACTAATTTTCTTAATTTATTCAAATCAATCAACAAACTCTTATATTAAGAAGACGAAGTATCATTTCTAAGCCACCAGTTACTTTAACTATTTTATCTAAATCCATTTACGCAAAAAAAAAAAAACCAAATCCTATTCTTTTTACTTTCTCCAACGGCCATGCCAAACCGGTCTTGGTGTTTATAGTGAGGATAAGCACCGTAATGCTTATTGTTACAGGGAGATTTACCCAGTTAAATATAATTTTAATAATTTAGATTTAAAATTTTTAGTTGATAATTTTTAAATAAAAAATCATTTTATAAAAAATTGACTGTCAAAAATTAATCCTTATTTTAAATTTTGTATGCATTAAAATATTAAACTATAAAAAATATAAAAATAAAACTATATTAAATCTAGATCATCCCATTTTAACTTAGACCGTCCAAATTGAGTACTGATCGCCGGAACACCCAAACTGATTCCACTGAATCCATGGCGATACAACTATACGAGCACCAAACAAAGCACCTCAGTAAATGATATTCTTAATATCTCTTTCCAGATTATTCCACCCGCTTTCTTCATGGCAATATTTTATATATACACGTTTCCCTCATCTGGATGAATTGATTCCGATTCTCTCCTTCATGATGAATTTGTTCCCAGCCGCACTTAAAATGAGAGACAAGGAAGTGTTTGGAAGCATGTAGAAGTACTTCTTAAAAGCATTTTTCCGCAAAACAAAACAAACTCCTCCACATATTTGTCTCGTATACAATAAAAATATTTTTAAAATCATGTTTTATTTTTCATCCAAACACCCCGAGAGAGAGAGATTCCGATTTTTGATATGGAGATGAATTTGTTCTCAGCCGCCCATGAAAAGTTTGTATGTTTGACTCTTATAATTTGAAAAGAAACTAAACTATGATTTTAAAAATAATTTTATGAAAAGATATGAACATAATTTTGTCATGATTTACCTGAAACACTTTTTAAAAATACTTTTTGTAATTACCAAATACCCTTTAGTCCAAAAAGCTCATTGTTCCCACGATGCTTCCTGACTTCTCATACCAAAGAAATCGCTGGATAAGAGATCCGTTACCCGATTATTCAGTCTACCGTAAGAGCAAATGTTACATTAATTTCTAGTATTTTCTTCTTTTTTGTTTTTCCCATTCCAAACCAAGCTTCTAGGTAAGAATTCCTTAGCCTCCATTTAGATAGGAAGAAGAGTTGGGAGGAAAAAAATAGGCGGGGTGAGAATAAAAAGAGGAGAACACTATAGAACAAATGAAAGTAAAATTCTGAGGAAACACATTCATATAATTTTATTGGTTATCATTTTAAATTCACCACAAATGAAATATCCTGTGACAGGAGAGCATTTCAATTAGCAGACAAAGAATCCAATCAATCCATGTCGGACCCTGAAACATGACATTGCAGAAGCTTGTCTAATTATGGGGACAGATTGGCAACTTTAGAGTGCATCAGCACCTTCTCCAGCTTCCATCAGCTGTCCTCTCAAAAATGCGAGGCTGCTTCCTGGGGAAGGTTTCTGTCCAGGATGGATGCTCAATCAAATAATTCCACTTCCTGAAGATGGAAAATATGAACACTACATCAACCAGTGAGATAGCAAGTGTAAATGTGCGAGAGTGGTGTTCAAGAAATGAAAACTTATATTTCCTTAAGCACTTAAATAGTTGGCAATTATTCATATTATTATTGAATCGAAGTGTTTTTACCTTCTCAAGCTGTCAACAAAATCTGGGCCTTCGGCATCAGGTGAGGTAGAACACATTGAAAGAATTTCTGAATCAGAATGATGAATTAGCGTGGAAGCAATATGATATTGTCGAAGAGTCCTAAATCAGAAGAGGCCAGCAGAAGAAGCTTCAGTATTAGTTAATCAAAGAGATGCTACAGATTGCCATAAAATAATTGTCACCAGTGTAGCATGATTGAGTGCTTGTTTTTCATTCAGCTACGGACTATGAACAATACACAACAATTTATACACACAGATGTTCAAGATGAAGTTAAAATCTTCCACAATTTACCAGCGACATGGAGCAATTATGAACCGATCTGTTTTAGTGTCATATGTCTCCAGTAACTTGCCATTCCTACTGGGATCTTCAAAGGAAGCAGTTACTCGTATTCTCCTGACAATTTCATCAGGGCACCTAGAAGTTCGATCAAAACTTGCTGGAATGACTCTTCCCGTCATAGTTTCCACCTGAAATGGTGAAAAAGATTAAGATGTCAAAATCCCATTCAGAGTATGAGTACATGCTAAAATTTAAAAGAAGGAACTGTAACATGTTTTCACAACCTGTGAATAACCAAAATGAGCCACGCAACCATAAGTAGTTTACCCTTGCGATATGTGGATGTGATTTAAATTTAGATAACATCGTCTGTTATAGAAATTGATTTCTGCAGATACAACATTTTGATTTATGAACCTAGTAACTTGCTCACAGAATTCAGTATTACAATCTCGTTACTGTAACCAGTATTATCTTAAAAAAGCTTCCAGCTTTATGTTTTAGCCGCTGAAACCTTATAAGAAGCATGTTAGACTGTCAGGTGCTAATAAATCAAAACATATCTGGTTTATACGCACAAGTTTGTATATCACTATAAGCAAATCTTTCGATTGGTTGTGTCTTATTAATGGTCAAGACATACTACAACTGTTATTATACAAACTTCGAAGAAGGAAAAAAAACAATCACAGTTTCCATTAGTGATCAACAGGTATGCAGGCAGAGCCGGCAGAGCAACCAGCACCACGTGCTTTAGGCAAGAGAATTTTTCTTATGTAAAGATGGAAAGAAAGAGGTTTATCTCACATCATGAACAAACTGAAAGCAAACAGTAACAAGATTCATGAGTGAATAATGCAGGCGCTGACCGCAAATCCATTGAAAATGGGGAATGTATTTCCATCAGAATCCCTTCGGGTGTTATGCCCCAGGACACAGAGAGTTTGAAGATGGAATGTCTCTTCCCTTGTGCATAAAGCTTGAACAATTTTTGTACACAGAGGAAAGGAATAACCTTCCAAATCTGAATGACTTTCTGATTCTGTCCTACCATTAGCATGCTGCACAGAAGTCCAAGAGACTGAACAATTATTCTGATTGAGGAAAAAAAAAAACTACATATAATGAAAATTATCAATGGAGTAGAAGACTCTGGTCAGACTTTTGGTGAAACATCTTCAAAACCCCCAATCAGATGTACCTACATTTTATTGAAATAAGACAAAGTTTCAGTTCAAATATAATTTCTGAAGTATCACCACGAGACTAGAAGTACAGATAGCCAAAATAAATCATTGAAAAAGTTCAGAAAAAGAAAAATGCCTCAAACCCAGTCTCCATATTGTCATCAACAAGTAGTGATAGCATTTGAGAAAGACCTGTATCAACAATCTCAGGTGAATCCATATGGGCCAGTGATGTCCTGCAACACAGAGATAAAATAATAAACCAGACATAGGCTGTGGCCCAAAAAATAAATGAGACAAATGAGACAAAAAGATCAGTGAAATTTAAATACGGACAACTTTCTATCTACAAAGGACTTAATCCTTAATTCTTACATCCCATTACTCCGGTTCCGAATGACAAGGCCAACACATGTTGTCGCTTCATCAGTGCCAACATACTAGCAATGCAGAGAGAGTAGAAAGCACATAAATATAAAGTTAAAAGAAGGCACGATGAAATCAAATACAAACAATTGCAACATACGTTGGCATCATAGTATTCAGCGCTCTGATATCATCAGATAATTAAAACAGTAAGGGCATGAAGTTGTTGAATGGTATTTATTTGCTGAAAGTTAACTAAAATGTCACGTTCTCCAGTCAGTTTCTTCCAAAAGAAGAAGAAGGAACTGAAAGGAGCCTGTCAGGAACCTTAAGAAAGGGGGAGGGCGGAAAAAGGAATCCATGGAAAATCAAAGATGGATAAATTCCACCAATGATGCCATTCACAATCCAACAAAGATTGAATGGTCAAGGAAAAAACTACTAGTTGTAGGCTCAAATAGACTGATTTAAAATAAATTGAATAAGCAGGACATGTACAATCTCTTCTATAAAAGGGAAAAAATTTTTAGGGTTATTTGCCAAGTGAAATTGAACAGAAGGAAAAGAGTAAATACATTAACAAATGCAGGGTCCACGGTCGCATATTCACTCTGGAATACATATACCCATTTTGATCGATCAGAACAAGACTCTTCCGAAACTGAAAACTTCCGCTGTGGGGTTGTCTTGAAAGAATTTGAGGCAGATACAATAAAAGGATTCTCCAACAAGGCAAGTAAAGTGTCTATTCCCTGTACACAAGCACAAATGTCAGGTACTTAACAAGTTTATCTATGTGCATATAGAAAGATCATGCTTTTTTATTGAGTTCTCTACGAATAAGACACGACTTCCGGGCTGACCAGCTTCTAGCTTCAACTTACGATCACCCGTCTCCCCCATTCACAGCCCAACTAATTCGTAGGTATTGGCGTGGCTATTCATAGACAAGTGCCCCGACTTGTTAACCGTCAAAGTCAAATGATAAGCCTAAGTATCCGATTCAATCCATAAGGCAAGCGTATGAAACTTAAGCGTAACTTCAAGCAAACATGCATTCTTCCATAGAGCTAGACAACAGGCACTGGCTTAAAATAATAATTAGCCAGACTTCCTAAAGCAACGCGTGATGCAGAAATATCAAACTCCATGGCTTTGACTTCAATAACAAATTAAAACTCATGATTTGAAGGGGGGAACTTGAGTGATGCTACTGGCACACTGATGCCTTTAAGCCAGAGCCTTCATCTCTTTCACCGAAGACTGCGTTAAAGTTAACATAAATGCCTAATATAAACAAAGCCCATTTCATACTGGCCAGAATTATAGGATAAACGACCTGAGCTGCACCAAGATTCTAGGTTCCCATTGCGTCGATGTTTCCCTTGACAACTTAAAAAGAAGACGGGGAAAGAGGATGATGAGAAATTGGGGTAAAGGGACAAAAGGGTACCTGAGATGTAGAAGATAAATGTGTAGAAAACGGAACCCCATCGACCAAAATCATGATTTGGGCGATTATCCTCGGAATAATCTCCGGTAGAGAGATTAATGATGATGAAAGTTCCACACTCCTGTAGGATTCTCGATGAACGTTGAAAAGCAAAAGTTTTGCTTTTCTGATGATGGCGGAGTTATTCTTTAATCTTTAATGAACAGTAGCCTTTCTTCCCTCTAAAGAAAGTAGGAAACATCTATCGTCTCCATTGATTAGTTATTAAATTAAAATTGTTTATTGTAATAGTACTCAGAACCCAGTGCGCAGGCAAATCATAATCCCGCGGCACGAAAATCAAATAGATAATACTTTTCTAATTTTAAATATAAAATTTTTATACATATTAAAATAAAAATCTTATATTTAAAAGAGAAAGAGTACGTAAAACTAATAGAAGAAGAGATTCAAGCACTTGATCTCAAAGTCATGACCAAAATATTTGTAAGGGGCTATTACATGTTACCAGAATATTGAGAATTGGCTCCCAGATTTGACTCCAGTACGTCTAACATTTTTTTTCTTCTTCTTGTTTTTTTTTTGCCAACTGTAGCATTTTTTTTTTCTTTCAATCATTGGATTAGATTTAAAAAGTTTAAATTTAATACCGTATTAAAATATTATTGAGGTATTGATTTATCACAAAATAAATGAATTTAAAGTATTGCTGGCAAAAAAAATTTAAAGCGTTAGAACTTAAACCGATGCCAAAAAAAGTATTAGAATTTAATCATATTTATCCAACTTATTTTTCTGATATCGAGAACTAAAAATGTGGACAGCTCTTGAGTAAATTTTTTTTTTTGGTAATATGAAAAAATTTAAACCTTAGCTTCATAGTGTCTCTACCTTATTCTAGCTGGGTGTTTTTTTTTTTTTTCCTTTTAATTTAGTTCTCAACCTATACCTGCTCAATAACCATGGAATGTGCTTTAGAGTGAGTAATTATTTTGTTTTTTTAAAATAAAGTTTGATCATTTTATAGGAAACAATAATAACAATAATAATAATATATAAAAGATAGAGTAAAAATCTTATATTTAAGACTAAAATTTAGTCTCAAACTATGCCTTATATTCAGAATCAGATGAATACTAATTTTTTAAGCTAGAATAGAAATAGTCAAATTGGTAAAAAAAAAAAAAAAAGGTAGTCAAATAACATAAATCCTTATGTGCCAATCACGATTTGTGACAATATTGATATTTTGATAGCTATGACTAAGGAATATTCCATTCCTCCTACCATGGAATTAGAAAAAGGTCACTCTTGCAAATCACAGAAAACACATGAATGATCTTCTCTTATTTGACAGCACCAACATGTCAGGCTCTATAATTGGCTCTTGGTTTAAGTTCGAATAATATATAATAAATTCTCATCTAGAAAAGAAAACTTAAGTTTAATAATAGGTTAAGAAGGTTTAAAATTTAAAACTTTAAAGTCAGAATATATGATTTTTTTTTTTTGAAAAAATATAGGTTTTAATTTTGGAGATTGCAACATGCAAGTACTTATTAACTTTCATATATCATTTTTTATTTTAAATCTCTATGACTGTCATTGAATGAACAACAATCACAAAGGGGAAAAGCGATCTTGTAGAAATTAAACACCCTATCGAGTGAGTGCATCGTTGAAAAACAATTAAAGCTCTTCAGTAGTGTCCTGGGCCATGATTAATGGGCCCTAAACAAGCAAAGATTAGACGGGCCTGATCCTTTATCATTTCATTGAAAACCCAACCAAAAAAAGAAAGAAATCCAGAATTTTTCTTACCAAAAAAAAAAACACAAGGAAGGTTACCAATCGTTTTATCCATTACTCCTTACTACTTTTTGGATAAGACGAACAAAAACATTCCTTGAAGGCTTATGATCAAAATTTTATTTTATTTGCAAATAAAACTTATTTTATATCCGCAAAAAAATTTCTCACATTTTGCTTACAATATATTACTTTTAATAAATCTGACCATAAATGATACAATAAGTGATACACATCCATCACATCTCATAAAAAAACTAATAGGTTTTAAGTTTGAAGTAACTTAATAACACTTAAGTTATAAGAAAACTAATGCGGATTGTATCTTCCATGAATCTCATGAATTCTAATCCTGTTCGAAGTACTAATTGTAGATATTTTTTTCAACGGATATTCATATGCCATGCTATAAGAAATTATTCTCTTATACTAGGAAGCCCAATTTTTATGTATCCTTTTGTCATATTTTAATTTTACCCAATTTGATTTTTTTAATACCAATCTAATCTAGGAAAAATATACTTCTCTAATAATTAATGTAAGACCTAATTAACTAATTAAAGTAAATTAAAGATGTTACTTAAATAAGTTAATATGATATGTTTTTAAAAAATATCTTAAGTATTTTTTTATTTCTTCATTCATTTTCTACACAACTATTGTTAAGGAAGTATCACTAGAATTGATTTAAAAAAAATTAATAAACATGTAAAATAAATCTTATCTACAAGACTAATATTAATTCTGAAATTAGATCATATAATAAGAAGACGAGAAGCACAACATTAGTTAATAATTAAGTTGAGAATTAACAATGATTTTTTTTCCAGATCAAAGAAGTGAACATTAATAATTCAAGGTTATAAAGAAGACGAAACTCATCTACTTCTTTTTTACATAAAAAATTTCATATAATTAGATTATAAAGCTATTGACAAGGGTATTTGAATTAGCTTATTTGAAATAAGTTTGTGATATGCGTTTTGTTTCCACCTTCATAAAAACACTTTTTTCTAAAGTGATCTTGACCTGTGCCAAACTCCGACACCAACTAGATAAAGGACCAGCCCACCCCTAATGCGTTACTGGGATCTGATGAACATTATGGTATGCATAACCTATGCGTGTATGGTTTCACAGTGATTCACACGGTTACGTGACAAATATGAATGCCGAGGGCCGAGGCTCCTTCCTTAGTACGTTATTTGCACACACCAACCAATTCGACTACCCCCACACAGAGAGAGAGAGAGAGGGAGAGAGAGATTTCTGCCTACATACCTCTCTTCAGTCTTCCCCAATATTTCTCTTCCAATCATTTCCAATCTTTTTAATTTCATTTCAGCCTCCCTCCTTCTCCCCCTTTCTCTTCGCAAGAGCCCATAATCACAAATCTAAACCTAAACCCTAGTTGTTTAAAGACTCTCTAATCTTTTTTTGAAAATAAAAATAAAATAACAAACAAGAAAAACAGAAACACCTTTGGGATATGATGATTATGAAATATAAGATTTGAAGTGGCTGAGACGCTCTCGCATGGAAAACCATCCCAGAAGCCCCGAGACTAATCCGCACCCCCATAAGTGGGGCACGTTCGAGGAGCTCTTGCTTGCCTGCGCCGTCCAGCGTCATGGCTCTAAGGATTGGGACGCCGTCGCCATGGAGGTTCAGACCCGAACCACCCTCCCCAACCTCCTCGTCACCGCCCACCACTGTCGCCAGAAATTTCTCGATCTCAGACGCCGATTCGCCGCCCACCGTGACGACGTCGTTCCCGAACCACTCGGCGCCGGTGACGACGTCGATCACGTCCCCTGGCTCGACGAATTGAGGAAGCTCCGCGTCGCTGAGCTTCAGGCCGCCGTCCAGCGCTCCGACGTTTCCATTCTGTAAATCTCTCTCTTCTCAGGCGATTTTTAATCGTTTGCTCGATTTTTTATGTTATAGATCTAATTCGTTTTCAAATTTCTTTTCGCTAATTTTCCCCGGAAAAGGTCGTTGCAGCTGAAGGTGAGTGAGGAAGTTGGAGGAAGAGAGAGGAAGAGTTTGAAGGAGAACGTCGGAGAGAAGGAAGAAAAAAACCGGATCTGGCCGGCTCCGGCGACCCGAAACCGCAAAACGACAAAAAGGGCGGGCCTGAAAAGGTTCCTGGGCCGGCGAGTTCCGAACCGGCAACGCGGCTCGACGAGGATCATAATATTAAGCAGCCGACGAGTGACGAATCCGACCGGGAAAACCAGTCCGTGAATGAGTCTAACTCGACGGTTTCCGTTGGGAAAACCGGGGAGGGAGAAGTTAAACTAGAACCGAACCCGGTCCAGACCGGCCATAATGAACCGGATGCGGTCGAGAGGAAGGCCAATCCGCTCGGAGAAGAATCTAATAACGGAAGCTACGATGAGGCGCCGAAAGTGCCAACGGCAACGGGGGATTCACTTCCCCCGAGCGAGGAGAGGAAGGTGGAGGACTCGTCTGAGTTCCGAGACTCGGTGACGCACTCGAGGGATGGTGGTGGCGAGGGAGGGGCGAGGGAGAGCAGTGAGGTTCAGAGCTCGGCGAGTTTGACGAGAAAAAGAAAGCCGAGGCGGAGGAAGGAGGGGGAGGAGGCGCCGGAGAACGACGAGGTGGCCGTGAAAGTTCAGCCGTTGGTTGGGGTGTTGGATTTAATCAAAGGTCACGATCACAGCTCATTGTTCGAGCGCCGTCTCGAGAGCCAGGTACCTGATCCAAATCATATTTGCATGGCTAAAATCGGTATTTAACAAGTGCTTTCAAAACTGGGAATAAAAAAGCGTATGTATTTCAGAAACCCTTGAAAACACATTAATAATTCAATTCAAATAAAGACGAAAAGTATTTGCACAAAAAATCTAAGTAAAAAGTTAAAAAAATCATTTATAACTCTGATACTTGTTGAGATCTTTCAAGAATTTAAATTTTCATTTGAAAAATTGTTTCTAATCTTTATATCATATGAGTCGCATTACTCATAAACAATGATTTTTTTTTTTAAAAAATAATTTATAATAACATTTTATTCATTCTTTTTGGGGATAACATTTTAACCATATTTCAATTTGATCACATCCGTGAGTATTTTTCAGTTAACATCTATATGGTTAAGTAAATGATCAATAAAATTTTTTGAGGAGTAGAAATATTCATAAATTATAAAGAAGGCAACTCACTTCTCGAATTTTATAGCTTGAGAAAAGTTGTGTATAAGATGATTAATAATTAAGAGATTAATTTAAATATAAATTTAAAATAAAGAGAATTTCAAATATAATTTAAATAAATACGTAATTAATTTATTTTAGTAAAATATGACTTCCAGTCGACACTTCTTAAACATTAAGCAACAATTACGGACCATTTTTCAATGGCCTATGAACCTTTTGAGCAATCAGTAGGATAAATTTAAATTCAATAGAATAGATTCTTAGCGGTGTTTTAGAATTGAATCTGTCGTGATTAAAGTGGCATTAAATTAAATGAATTAATATATTTTATTTATATATGATGTAAAAAAATTGATTATTATTATTATTATTATGACGCTTTTTATTATTTTTTAATTTTAACTAATTTTTTATTAATTCTTGACTAATATTTTCTTTTAATCTTCAGCATTTTTTTGAAAATATATACTTGTTTGAGAGGCTCTAAATTTATCTGTCAAACTGTCCTCTTCAATCATACTATAATATACTCTTTCGGTCCTTAATATAGGATCTAATTCTTGAGTTGGTTTTGGTCTTAAATATAAGACCCCTTTCTCATATTTATCAATTTTATCTAAATTACTTTTATGAATACTCCCTCAATCATAATCAAGTAAAAGAGGGAGAGGGAATATTAAGAAAGATGATTATGGTGTTTTAGGAAAAATGTGTCACTTTTCTTATAATTAACTAATTTACCTAACTTTTTTAATCTAATCAAATTAGTTAAATGGGTCTTATATTAAAGATCGAAAGAGTACTATAATATTTAGAAATCTTACATCTCTGTTTTAAGTTTGTGAACACGTAAAACTTTTTTTTTTTTTTTGAGTGTGTGTGGATCTAAATTGAGTTGTTGTATGGAAAATAAAATAAAAAAGGAGAAAAATGAATGTTCAGTATTATGTTTTCTTCTTTCGTAGGCCCACTTTCAGATGGAGTGGGCTTGACTTTCTCCAGTTAGGCCCATAAATTGGATTTGGTATGGGCTTGAAATTTTTCAATAATCTACCTTAACCTTCGGCTGCTGCTGCTCCTTTTAATACCAACGGGCTACTTGCCCGTTATTCTTTAATATTAAAGAATTAAGTAAATAACTACTTTTTTGGGGGAAAAAAATAAATGAGTGAAAAATGAATAATTAAAAAAAATTATAATGACTGCTAAGCCTAATGTTATCATTTTTTGGGGGTGACATGCTAATCCAAATATTAATAAATTCGAGTGTCATTGTCTTATCATTCTAGCATTTACGTGCAATATGCTCATCATAGTGTCTTTTTCTAATGCAGGAACTGGAAAAATACAAGAACATAGTACGACACCACGTGGATTATGAAACCATACAACGGCGACTTCGAAACGGGACTTATTCCCAATGCACTCATGCTTTCTTCCGTGATCTCCTGCTCCTCCTCACCAACGCCGCCGCCTTCTTCCCCAAAGACTCCGCGGAATCATGTGCTGCACATCAGTTGGGCCAGCTTGTCTCCGCCGAAGTTGCACACCACATCCCAGTCACCCGATCCGAGCCACTTGCCAGAAACCCAGATTCACTCCCACCCAGCAACCCATCATCGTCATCAAAACCAAATCCTGATTCACTTTTATCAAAACACAAAGCTTCTGCTCCTATATTAGTGTGCAGGAAACGCAATGCATTCTCAGCTAAACCTTCTACCTCCTCCACTACTTTTGGCCAAAAAGGTGACTTAATAGTTCATGAGAAGAAGAAGCCGGTTTTAGATACAAAACCGCCCCCATTGAAGCCATCTTCTTCTGATACAGACGATGATGAACCTCCCAAGAAAAAAGAGAAGCCCATCACCAGAGTGAGAAGCCTGAGAAGAAGCAACAAGAACCTCACTGGCAACTCTAACAAGAAGGCAGGCACGACTAGCAAGCCACCGGAGCCGTCGAAACCAGATAAGAGCAAAGCAGAGGGTTCTGCAGGAACAGATAAAAAGAGGAGTGCAGCAGCGGATTTCTTGAAGAGGATAAAGCGAGGTGCTCCAGCGGAGGGATTGAGAAGTGGTGGTGGTGTAGTAGCAGCAAAGGTGGGGGAAGTAGTGGGAAAGATCACAAGAAGATGAACAGTGGTGGCAAAGGGGACAAGGGGAAGGAGAGAGCAGCCAAGCATGGCGGTGGCAGTAGCAGCTCCGGTGACAAAAAAAATGAGAATGAGAATAGTAGCCAATCGAAGAGGAGCGTAGGGAGGCCTCCAAAGAAGGTGGTGGAAACTAATAATGCTTCTGCAAAGCGTGGGAGGGAAAGTGGTGGAAAGGATAAGAGGGCCAAGAAACGATCTAAGAGGTGATGCATGGTTTTGTATATTATTTTGATTTGACGAGTCACAGTTTGTATTTCTTTCTTTTTCTCATACACTTTTTTTTAAAAAAAAAATTTAGCTGTTGTAGTATTTACCTAGGGTAGTTTTCATTTCCTTCATTGTTACTTGTTTAAAACCTTAATGTAAGCATTAAACCTGTAACATCTTCACAGCGAGGTCATAGCTAGCTCGTGCTTATTGCCACTCCTAGCCTTGAAGCCTTGAACATTATTCCTTTATTTTTCACAGCTCAATCATGGGCTCATCGACCACAATGTTGATGCAAACGGTTCATAAACGCATGTCAACTTATATTGCAAGAGGTTGAATACAGCCACCCCCCCAATAAAAAAGAGAGCATATAAACTAATAGGAGAAGGTAGTCCACGGATGACTTTTTATATTTAATAATTGCACCTTTTTAAAATCAAATCATAATATGTGTAATTACTTGCCATATGATACAGCTCATATCATCATGATATCATATCATTATTTGTATTGATTTGATTGAGAATAAATACAATAAATATATAAATTGAAGTATCTAACTTTACTCTTTATAAACATCAATTATTTTTCCAACTCCATGATATGGGACTCAACTATCTAATTGATGAGGATAGAACGTATCCGTTTCTGTATAGATCCTTGGGTCAACATCAAATAGAATGAAATTAATAATGGCAGTCGGGAGGAGGAGGCAAGAGAGAGAACAACCATAGTTCTGAACAATACAAGGAAACCAAATTTATACACAATCATATCACATGTGATGATCACTGATGCGAAGGTATGATACAAAGCAACAGCTGATGGGTCCTATGTCAATTTTTAACCTTAACGAAATAATTATTGCCAAAGCTACAATATGGTCAATGTCATCCTAACCCAAAAGACCCAAACCCTAGAGCTATCTATCATGTGTTAGGGAACTATATTGTACGGCATAGTACAACAAGAAAAGTCCACCCTCCCGCATGAGTGTGCAGGCCACCATGATAACAAAATATGTCTGCCCATTCTACAAATGTTATGCAATCCCTGTCATTCTCGATCCATTGATTGAGCATGTGAGAAATGGCGGCCACCCTCATCTATATATAACATTTATCACGTATAAGAATGCTTGATTCTCTAAAAGAATTACACGTAAAAAAAAAAAAAAAATCTCAAACAACTATTAGTGATTACAATTTAAAAAAAAAAAAATGCTATGTTTATATGAAGGAAATAGTGATAAAAAACCTGAAATTCTTTTTAAGTCCTGACACATTTTCATGTCTTGATCACACCATCACTTCGTCAGAATGAAAAAGCTACAAGCATTACTGGATTGGCAGAGTCGTAGTCATTTTTCATGTCTTGGTTTATGCTTGAATTAACCATTCCCCCAGTGAACCCAGATGGCTTGAATAAACCACGAATCTTTCATTTTATAAATCCAATTTTATATTAATACTTAGGATTATAGAAAGAATAGACACATTTGACACCCTGGTAAGGTCCACACTTTGCTTACTTAGAGAACCACATGCGGAATGACAGAGCTCAGAGAATAAGCCATAAAATATGATAAAATGAGAAGTACCACTTTCACCATCAGAAAAATCTGCAATTCTCGCAATTGCATCAATAAGAGCTTGCTCATGCTCCTGCGAGGAATGAGTTATTGATCATCTATGAATATAAACTTGTCGCAAAAAGATCAAAGAAGTCAGCCAGTAGAATTGTGTGTGGGTGCATGAGAAAGATTCGTATGTCCCATACCTTCAATAGTTTCTTGGCTTTCTCAATTTCTACAGGATCAGGATGATTTGCACTGAAAACCCTCTCAACCTGTCCAAGTCCACCGGCATATTATTATTATATTCAAAGCAATCAATGAATCTCAATCAATCAAAGAATGCTCCCCTTAAAAAGATTTGAAGTTACCTCCTTTATTAATGCATCTGTATGAAGCAATTGTATATCATCCGGACCCTTCTTCCCTATGCCATTTTGTGAAGGCAAAACATCTTTCCTGGATTGCCCCTTTGTGCCTCCTCTACCTCTTCCAGCTCCCGGAACATTATCACGACCAACAGACCTATTCATCCCACGACTAGAACCACCATAGGCTCCACGGTGATTGATTCCTGGATCCTCCCCCACCCACTGAATATCTTGAGGAGATATCTGCAGTTACAATACTGCATCAACATTAGCAAAATCAATGAAGTACTAACGTGCATCAAACATCAAAACTGCAGAAAAGTCATTCTCAGTAACTTTTTTCTTTAGATGTTGCCCAAGAGATCTGAATTGATCTTCAACTTTCCAAATTTCTAGCCTTACTTGCAAACAAACCATTGTTTTCTGAGTGGCTCAAAAAGCCACCACAAATTCAGGAAGTGTTCCAATTAAAACAATTCGAAAGATGGATCATCAAATATCTATGATAAAAAAGAGACAGTTTACTAATTTATTCCTGGATGAACTAGTAAATTCTAATGTTCACTTCAAGAAATACAACAACGGGATGGGAAAAACAAGACCAACCAATTTAATGATAGAAGTAAGGAAAGTCTACCAAAATAGTTTCCTCATGGAATTTGATAGACTACTTAGATTTGAAAAAAGTTTGATGTCTACACATGCATGGATTTATTAGAACTTTTGACTATTATTTTATAATTGACAACGTCAAATTTTTATATTTGAATTCTATAGTTCACCAAATGCAAATTTCCCATTAATGGGACAAAATATTAGTGCCTTAAAAATGGGAAAACACTTCATCTTGGCAGGGATAGTAGATATCAGATTTTTTTTTTTTTTTTTTTTTAGAGGGGGGGCTGTTATTTCGTTTTGTGTGTAGTGCTAGACTTGTTTTAGGAATCACGAAAAAGCATCAGATATACCTCTGCTAGATTAACCCATTCCCATGTTTCATTTGCAGTACCCATGTCATACACCAGAGCATGTCGACCCTGAAGAGATAGGAGCAAAAGAAAGATGTCATCTTAGTGTGAATGGGAATCCTAATTCCTATGAAATAGGGGCTGTCAATACCTCCGCTTGATTGTAGTCAGTGATAACAGCTTCATAAAAGTTATTATCATCAGGCCACCTAGTCCTCACTCTCCGGCCAATCAATTGATCATATGCAGCACCCTCAGCAGACTCACCCATGACAGCACCAGAAGAAACTCTATTAGTCATTTGATTCCTTCCTCCAGGTCCTGAGGAAGGGTACTGCTTCATTGAAGAGACACCAGGTAACAGTTGACCCTGAAAAATATATGAACAAATGAAAAATATCATAACGATGATGATGTGAGAAAATGTTCTCTTGGTGTAATACTCCAGTTACTAATAATTGTTTATGAGCAGCTCAAACTTGAACAAGGAGCAGCTAGGTAGTCAAACCAAACACAATAAAAGTATACAAATATGTCTCTAAAGTAAATGCCATATGCTAAATTGTAATGATTACTCACAGATTTGTTCTTCTTCCCCTTGGATCCTGAGACAGGTCCCCGTTTTGCAGCAGATGAAGATGGTTGGTGGGGTGCAGCTGCTGTTTGTGGGTGGAATTGTTGAGATGGCCCGCCATAAGACTGTGATGGTACAGACTGAGTTATCTTCTGTTTCTTACGGGATGCGGATATCGTAGGACTGGAAATGGAATCATGAATAGCTTGACCAGTACTCAACAAGCCAGGTTGATGGCCACCTGCCTGCCTCCACTCCCTATTGTGAAGTCCAACATTGTTAATTAACAAAAGTTGAAAATTAAATGAAAAACTAACAAATTAAGCTTGTAACAACATGTCAGTTTTATCATACCTTATCCTTCGTATGACATCATCTGCATTAACCCGGCCTAGAAGTTCCCTATGTTCCTCATTTGATAACCTCAGCTCTTTTCTAAGTTCTGTAATCAAACTCTCCTTCTCCTGAAGAAAATACATGTCATGTAGCAGTTATTTAGACCTGATCAAACAAATTTACCAAATATTAGATTATATTTCAGGAACCAAAATGACAGAATGTACCCAAGTAATGGCATCAGCTTGAGCTTTGAATGCTCGCAGAACTGAACTGTAAGCTTCCTGCTCAAGTTGGTGAATTTGAGCTTCCATGTCAGTTTCACCATACATCCTAGGATATGGAAGTGACCCTACAGCAGCTCTTCCATTCCCAGCAAGACGTCCCCCTCTGGGAATTCTGTTTTGGTGTGTTGGTGGCAGATCATCATCAGTTCCTGCAACCATGAAAATCACTTTGATTGGATACAACCACTGAACAAGTGTGATTGGACCGTAAAGTCACAACATAATTTATCATCCTTTTCTTGGCTTTGGTGAAAAAGCTATCTCAAACACAATAAATAAATTGGAATCAATAGCTCTACACATAAAGAGTTATAAACTATGCAATATGGGAACAAAATAGCTCTCCGACACTTCCCACTAACTCCAATGTTAAAAGGAAATTTATCATTCAAATCACCAACTTTTCACCAGGTATACCATGCAAGCTACTGTCAACCCGAAAACATCTAAAAGAGAATCCATCTTTCTCAAATTTTCGTGTAAATCAAAATTACTATCCATAATATAGAGAAAAACTCATAACAAGCAAAGAACAGCCACGGTTTAGGATCTTTGGTCTGAAAACAGTTCATCAGAGAGAGAGTCTATAAAACAACAATATATAAGAAGTATATCCTAGCATATAATCTGTAATGCTCTTATATATCTCAAATCAATCCTTCTCCACATCTCTTACCCTTTTTGTTTCTTTTATTCATCCTTCCTCCTCCTTAATGCTTTCTTGTTAAGGGATCACTGTTCCTAGCTAAGAGAAGAACAAATTAAATCCCGTTACATCGTTGGACTCCTTCACGGGTTTCCATTACCATTTCAAGGCTTGAAACTTATGAAACTACTTTCTGATCAATATAATGCTAGTATTAAAAATGCACCACCAAGAATTTCTCAGAAAATGTCTAAGTTCTATGAGTTGTAAGCTAACCAATGTCATAGAAAGATACTTGTGACATAAAACCTATATATTTCCAAAATGAAAAACTAGCATAATTCTGTGAATCAGATGAGAAATTAGACAGTTGAGACAAGTATAGCTATATTCTCATATCCGTTCTTTCGAGAGAAGAGTTCTAATCCTTTAGAACCAAAAGATTGAATTATCCTGTCGCCCAAATACTATACTTCTTGAGTTCCTCGATATAACTTCAAAAAAGGGGCTAATCAATGCCCAGAGAATATGCAGGTTCAATGACCCACCAATCAAATAAAGTCTCCATTCTCGTGAGAGACCACAGAAAATAACACAGGCCAGATTCAGCAACCGCACCACCAACCATGAAATGGTGTCATTTAAAGTTCTTTGCCGTTCACAAACGCTAAAAATGATCAAATTTTAGAGCACAAAGGGACAAGGCAAGGGAACAGTTGCAGAAAAGTTAAAGAACCCTAACCCTAAACTCAAAGCGAAAAGAATTGCAAATCATGATGAAGTACGAGAAGGATTAAGCAACTTCTAGTAAGCTCACCACTACTATCGTAGGGCTCGTAGTCCATAGCCAGCTTGCACTGGAATCGAACAACCCAGATCCAGAAAGATGCGAAAACGCCAAAGTTGAGAGCGAATGCCGAACAACAACTCAGAACACGCCAGAATCAGCAAGAGCGATGCAGCACCAAGCAAATGGTGTTGTCGAAGGATTCGAACATGGATGAAGTCAGCTCAGAAGAGAACCCAAACGGTGGCGAAGGATCGTTGTCGGAGCGATCACGGCGGGTTCGAGTAATTGAGCGGAGCTCAGGTCGGACCCGACACTGGGTTATGGGTACGAGCGTGCAACACTGTTCATTTTCCTCCTTTCTTTTTTTCCTTTTGTTTTTTTGGATTTAATAATTCATAGTAATTAATTTAAAATACAAAAGGGGAAAAATAAACTTAATAATTGAGTATGAGTTCCGCCCTCGTTACAAAAGTCCAGCAATCATAATTTTAAAGATAATCCATAACTTTTATCTAAGTCTGCTTCTTTTATGTATTTTATTTTCTTATTTCTTGGAAAATATAAAAAAAGATTTTCTTTTATTTTTTTAAGAAACAAATTTTAGGAAATGCATACTCAAATACATCGTTTGTCATGCCAATTTTTTTATATGATTATCTTCACATTTGAACATTATCAAACTCAATTAAGAATAGTTCTTACTATGTCAATATCTATTTAGGTTTTGTTAATTAACATATGTTGTTTCTTTTTTAAAAAAAATTAAATCCAATTTTTTTTTTGGAAACATTAAATTCATTTCCTTCATAAACCAATTTATTACTTCACTACTTTTATTTACCAATGGAAGAATGAATAAAAATACAAGTATCTTGTAATCCTATTCATATGTTCTTCTCCTCGCTATACTTGTCATACATCTAAGGCAATATCATCGCCAAGTCAAATTTGTCTTCTTCGTTGACGTGACAACTGGTCCAAACTTACCGATTATAGCAATGCATATGCATAACACACACCCCTCTGTTCAACGAAGCAGAGAGAAGCTGTTATCAATGGCCGCCATGGCTGACACTACAAATCTGGAATCATCCCTACCGGTTCCGAGTGTTCAAGTATTAGCCATTCAAAATCCAGATCAGGTGCCACCTCGGTACATCAGAGATGATGATGAAATCGGAGCGTGCCCTTCTGATTCATCTCTTCGTGTTCCTCTCATCGACATGGCCAAGTTGGTCAACGCAGAGGCAAAAGCTCAAGAGCTTCAAAAACTTCATCTTGCTTGCACAAAATGGGGTGTCTTTCAGGTGCTTCAAAATCTATATATACTTCACTACTGGGTCAATCTTTTCTATAAAGTGATCGTTTTGTTTTTTTGGTTCACTCTTTTGCAGGTGGTGAACCATGGGGTTTCTGATGAATCTCTTGACAAGATGAGGGACCAAGTTGAAAGATTTTTTAAGCTTCCATTTAAAGAAAAGATGAGATGGGCACAGAGACCAGAAAGCCTTGAAGGCTATGGACAAGCATTTGTAACCTCAGAGAACCAAAAGCTGGATTGGAACGACATGATCTTCCTCAAAACTCAACCCGTTCAAAACAGAAATTTAGATTTATGGCCACAAAATCCTCCTCAGTTCAGGTATAATCACCCAATCCATTCAAGTAACAACTCTTTTGGCATTCAATATTGGATTGTTCTTTCCTAATGTGTGAAGTTTGACAATCCTTTCTGATGCTTTGAAGGTTGTTATTTAAAATTGTGTTTTAGGGAAACTTTACAGATATATTCTGAACAAATGAGAGAGACAGCAAGTTCAATAGTGAAGTTCATTTGCATGGCTTTGGGGGTTGAGGCTCCAAAGCTATTATTAGAGAGCTTTGAAGAAGGACAGTATGATATAAGGATGAATTGCTTCCCTCCTTGTCCTGAGCCTGAAAGAGTTCTTGGGATTGTGCCTCATGCTGACAATTCTGCCATAACTCTCTTGCTTGAATGTGACACTTGCCTGGATTACAGTTCCTCAAAGATGGAAAATGGGTCTTTGTTCAACCTATTGAAGGAGCCATTGTTGTTAATATTGGCCAAATTTTTGAGGTTTGTTACTAATTAATCTGTTATACTAACATTTGCATCTCTTTTATTTAGTAATTTTAATGAGTGATCTTGTAAATTGTGAGTAGAGATTTTACATTCTTTTCATTAAGATCACCTTATAATAAGGACCTTTGAAAGAGTTTATGCATTTGTCTAAAGTCCTAAGTGCGTCCGTTAACTAAGTGATGAGTTTCGAATATGCATTAGTGCATAAGCAAGATTGGGGTAGTGAATTGTTCAATAAATTGTGCAGGTGATGAGCAATGGCATGTACAAAGCACCAGTTCACAGAGCAGTTGTAAACAAGTTGAAGGAGAGGTTATCAATAGTCACGTTCTGTTATCCCGGTTCTTCTGTAGATATTGGACCATTTGAGAAGCTTATTAGTGAGGGAAACCCGCCTGTGTACGAGACCATGACAAATGCAGAGTATTTCCATAGATTTTTCAACAGGAAGCTGGAGGAATCATTCATTGATAGCCTCAAAATATGATCCAGGAAGCCTGACGTGTTTTTTTTTTTTTTTAAAGTAAGAAAAGGAGAAACAACCTATTTACATGATTTTGATTGCCTTCTCTCTTTGTTATTGGTGTAAGTGGTGTCCCACTTGAAAATTTTTTTTGGTTAATTTAAAAGCATGATTGTATTTTAATTAAAAGAACCTGAGCCCAAAAGGTTCACTAGCTGTTGCAGAAATATGAAATGGTCTGTTCTAGTTTTCTTGATAACGTGGCCCTTTCTTTGGAAACTAAGACGATGAGGCCTTTAAGGATAGTATGGGGTTTAATTCCTTTACATGAGGAGAGCAAGGAAAATTAACCGTCTTTTTGTTTAAAAAAAATAATAATAAGAGTAACATTTCGTAATGAAATAATATTCATCAGAGGCATAAAAGTAACCTGAACCTAGAAGATGTGAGTGTAAGGCTATCCTACTTAAGCTGGAATAAATAAATAAATAAAAGGTCATTATAAATGTAAAGTAGCGTACTGAATTAACAGAAAGAACTAAAAGGAGAGGGGCATGGTGGCACAGACACATCAACGACACCTTCGAGCATTTGGATGACCTTCTTCATGGAAGGTCTCAAAGATGGGTCCTCTTGTATGCACCAAAGAGCCACCATCACCAGCCTCTCTAACCTTTTCATGTCATTTCTAGCCTCTTCATCTTCCTCTACAAGTTTGCGTAATCTTCTTGCTTTATAGCAGTCATAAACCCAGTCAATCAGAATCACTTCCTCTTCATTCTCTTTTCCCATGTCAATGCTTTTCCTGCAAAATAAAATCTCGAGCAACATCACTCCATAGCTATAAACATCTATTTTTGCAGTAATAGGAGCATTCCTGAACCATTCCGGTGCTACGTACCCTCTCGTCCCTCTAATCATTGTATGGGTTCGAGTTTGATCACTCAAAAGAAGCTTCGCCAACCCGAAATCTGATATTCTAGCTGTGAATGAATCATCTAGAAGGATATTTTGGGGCTTGATGTCACAATGGATGATTTGGGTGACACATTCTTCGTGTAAGTACATGATCCCTCTTGCAATCCCGGACGCTATTTGGATTCTTTTATTCCAATCAGGTCTTGAGATCCCAAAGAGGAAGCTAGCTACTGTTCCATTGCTCATGAACTCATACACCAAGAGCTTGTTTGGCCCTTCATCGCAGAACCCCAGAAGTCTAACTAGGTTCTTGTGATGGGTTTTTGCTATTATGCTTACCTCTGTTTTGAACTCCTTTTCTCACTCAAGGTGCAGCTTATCCAGCTTCTTCACAGCAACATAGGTTCTTGAAGTTGATGAGAATATGACCCCTTTATACACAGTACCGAAAGCACCTCTTCCTACTTCTTCTTTGAATCCATCTGTGGCTTCATACAGGTCTTTGTAGGTGAAAGTCTGGAGATTTGCATCCAAAAGACTTGATCTGTATCTATTTTTGTGCCTTCTTTTATACAGAGTAAGGAAAATGAATATAATTGCTGCAACAAAAAGTAAGTTGAGAAACACAGAGCTACCTAGGAGAAGGGCTCCTGCTAAAATCAAGGTTGCTTGGTCTTTCTTGTGTTTCTATCCTCTGAAAGGGGTTCATCCGAAGGAACGTCAGATTTGGGCAATTTTATCAGAGCCTTCCCATTAACATCCCAGTCCTGCCTTCCATTTGACAGAGGCAATTTCTTCTTCCAACATGTGCATTCCTTTATAACAGCAACCACACAGTAGCAATCATAGAGGCAAGATTTGCTACAGTCATTTTCATTTAGTCCCTGCAATTGTTCAAAATTTGAAGAACTGGGCCAAAAAGTATTGGATAGCTCTTGCATTTTGTACATATCTTCTGGTTTTGGCCTGCTTGATTCACAAGTTACTTGCTTGTCTAGCTTGCAGCCATTGAACTTATTAGTGGGCTCCAAGGGGGAAAACCCAGGAAGACAATCACAGATAGGCCTTCTATTAGCATCAAGTCTGCAGAAGCCATTGTAACCACAAGGTCCTCCTCCCAAGTCACCAGTCATATCTGAGCAAATGTCGTCAGGGATAGACCAAACAGTGATCCAAGAACCCGAGTTCCTACTTTTGTTATCTCTAGGATGAGCATACTGAGTGAAAATCCCATCAAAATCAAGTGTCGCCCTTTAATAGAAATCCCCTGAAGGAGCTTGTGTTTTATTTGCAATATTGAGAGTGTTGCCATTCCTTCTGACCACATTCACAAAACCTGACTCATTAAGAACCAGGCGGTACCCAGAATCCATGCGATCAGAATTATTAGTTGTTTTGCTGTTGAAATAAGGCTCATAGGCAAAATCTGTAGCTGGGGCAATTGGTTGAAGGACTACATCTCCATCATCTTGAATGCGAAGTTGAAACTTTCCCTTTGAATAGTTTCTGTCCATTTGCCTTGAAGTTAGCTTACCACCAATTTCCAGTACCCGAGTTGGAAGCAACGTATCTGTAGGGTTCTTGAAGCTCTCCCACACATAACTAGAACTTTTGACCAGGACGAAATTGCCTGTGTCAAGCAAAGCAGCATAGGAAATCTCATCATCAGCAATAGACATAGGAAGCGGAATCTCCTCGCCTTTTGGACCAGTGAGCATAAACTGACCCCTCGTAGTGAGTTCAATTTTTGATCCTTCTGGCGCTGGATTATCTCCATTTGCCCACCAAACTATGGTTTTATCTGGGATTTTGTCATACCAGACGGCGAGCAAGTAGACATTTTGATCATTGTTGGTGGCACGAAAGCCAAAAGCAAATTCCCCAGACGGTGATAGCCATGAAGAGGAGGAATCCTTAGAAGCTAATAGAGATGATCCTAAGGTTATGTTTGCGGTTTGGGATACTACCACCATAGATGATAGCACAAGAAGCAGTGAGAGGCCATGCTGGTGAAGGAGATTCATGGTAATAGCATACTTGCAGTATAAAGATTGAAGAATAATAGGGTTGTATTACTATTTACTTATAGTGAACTTGGATGTTTTCCTTTTTTTGTCCAAACAGCTAAGGCTGTGGATTTTTCTTGTATAACCTCAGGCGGTGGTCAACGAAGAAGGCTCAGGTGGTAATTGATGGCAAATTCTGAGTGGTCATCACCAAGTCCAAAGTGGAAGCCATTGTGAAGAGGGCTAGCTTTGACTTTGAACAAAACGTTAAATTTATATCAAAGTCATTGATTCTTGGGGCTATCGGTGATGAATATGAGGATGGTGATCAAGTCGTCTAATTTCTAATTTTCGGAGCTTGCCTTATTTTGTTGATCGATTTTCATTTTTGTTTTAATTTTTTGTTGTTGTATTTGATGAGATAGAAGCTTTTGAATAAAGATAAAATTTTATTTCAAAATGCCTGAACTCTATTAAAATGATAATCTTAAGAGAGAAATAATATTTCTCCAGTTCTAAATATAAGAACTCTTTCGTAGTGTAATTTACATTACAAAAAGGGTCTTATATTTAGGATCAGAAGATTATTAACTTTTACTCACCTTAAAGTTTTGACCAAATATATATCCTTGGAATGTTGACTTGGAATATGTTTAGCACAAAATTTATGATGAGTTTGGACTTAGTGATGCTAATATTTCTCAGGGTGTTGGTCAAAACATATTAGAGGTAGGGTGTGGAAAAGAGAGTCAAGATTACAATTTTGACATCTGAAAATTAATGGAGGATAACATTACTTTTCGTCCATTGCGTGACGCCTCAGGAATACTATATGGCTGCTATTTAAATTATGTTTCTTTTTGACATTTTTCATGCACAATGTTCCCTTCAGGCCAAAAAAAAAAAAGTACAATGTTCCCAGTAAAAATACTCAGAAATTCAACACTCTTAAAAATTAACCGAAATCGAGAGATGTTGGGAGAAGAGATGTAAGAAGGAACTAACGGAGTATTTGGCATGATGGAAAAGTGTTTTTTAAAAGTATTTTTTTTGTAAAATGAGACATATTTTTTTATATATTTATTTCGTATACTGTAAAAATACTTTTAAAACTATAATTTGATTTCCATCCAAACACCCTTTAAGTCAAAGAAATTAAAGATGAACGGATGATGATGTCCCCCTATCATACAAAAATAAATAAATAAATATATTGATTATTAACTCATGTCAACTTGTCAAGAACAAGCATTCTTCCTTCCACGTTGGATTTCTTGTTTTAATTATAACTGCAGTCAACTGCACTTTTTTTGACACCTACTACGTCATCGATATATAAAAGTAACACTCCTTGCTCAAAATATGAGTATAAAATCCTTGAAAAGATTTGGTTTTTTTATAGCCCTCAATTTAAATTTATCTTATCATTTAATACATTTTATTATTATTAATTAATTATGTTTTTTCTCATCTCTTTTTCTACGCATTCTTTCTCATCTCTTTCTCTACTTATTTTCTCTCCCACTTACCCACTCCATAAAATAGAGGTTACATTTTTTAAAATATTTATTATTTTAACTAATTTTGACCAACTTCTTGAGTTACATAGTTTAATTATTTAATGAGAGAGAGAGAGAGAGAAAGTATTTTGAAATGAAATAACGTTGCTGAGAGGCATAGAACTAGAAGTGTGTTGCGCATAAATTATGTGAGAGGAACAGCATTCTAAATTAAATAGTCCCACGCTGAAGGCGCATTGTAGTACTGTAGTCAAGATAGGGGTCGTTTGCCAATGCTCGGACCTTAAAACCCAAAAACACACATATATTCAACGGGAAATGTAACGTAAGAATCATCCAAACTGCAAATGTACCATGCTCTCAATCCAACATTTGATGCAATGTAAGAGTACACACTTGAAACTGTTGCCTTAGTCCATAAAAAACTATGATTTACACAACAAGAAACACAAGACACTCAAATCAAATGGCGTCGAATATGTTTAACAAACTCCACTTTTTTACTTCTCAAACCTTCTGGGGCCAACTTTGGCCATGCATTCATCATGAAGCTCATAGCCATAGCTTGCCATTCAGTTAAAAACCAGCCCATCCAGCAGGTTGAGAAGCTGATTCTCTCTCATAGGTAGACTTAGCCTCAGAATTACTCCCATCAGTAGTATGCCTAGGCATCTGTGGGCTTCCAGTATGGATAGCAGAAAAGTTTTCTGTTCCAAACGCCCAAGAATTAAATTGAGTAGCTGGCTGGGCAGGCTGATTGTTTTGCTGACCACCCCTCCCAACAGACTTGGAAGTATTGTCCACTGAAACAGGCCTCCGTGGCAGAGGTTCCTCTGGAAAAGCTTGCCATGATGACTTAGGTTCTGAACCAGGAGTTTTCCATTCAGCTTTATTTTGCCCTTGTTCCCGAACTGTCCCACATTTCTGCCATAATAATGCAACATATATAGTAATGAGCCAAAAACCAGAGCTATAGAAAAATCTACAAGTTACACGAATGCAGAAGAAAATCACAAATAAAATTACCATAGCAGTAGATGTTGCAACCGTTGAAGCTATTCTATGAGCCTCCTTCTTTGGTGATGGAGTTTTAGCTGCAAGTGCCAGCTTGAGATCTTGGAGATCTTGTCTTTGAGATCGACAGATGCCAGTGAGCTTTTCATACTTGGAAGTTATCTCAGCCTTTTCCAAGTTGACTTCCTTCAGCTGCCCCTTGAGTTTCTCCACCTCAGCCTCCAATGCTGCTTCCCTATCAGACTTATAACTAGGTCCAGAGTTGAACTTACTTGTATCAAAGTCAGCAACAAAAGCGTTAAAAGCCTGGCCTTGAAAAGTAGTTGTGTTTTCTACATTTGATGACATTCGCTTCTCACTACTATGATCTTGACCCTGAAAAAATTTTATTTCAAAGTCCTTAGAAGAACCAGGATCAGGCTTGTTTGATTTTCCATGTGAACTGCTTTTCAAAGTTTGGGATTGGGCACTGACCACTTTGCTAGGGCTAACATTATTAGGTAATTGATTATTCGCTGGACGGAGTCTATCAAGTTTTGATGAAATAGAATGGCAAGCTGGTTCTTCTATGGGTTTGCCCTTTCCCTCTGTGGCAAGTGATTTTTGTGCATGCTGAGTGGACCAGAAAGCACCAAGCTGGCCCCCACCGCCACCTCCCATAGAAGAGATGGATGACTGTGATGAAGTTTTAGGTTCTCCAGATGCCGGGGGAGGACTCCTACGAGGCACTGGGGTGGATCTGTTAGCAGGCTTTGAAGCACCTGTCGAAATTAAACCATAAAGGAATATTCATGTCAAGTATCATGCTTACAGTATTTTATTAAAACTACAAGTTCCAATTTTCTACCAAAACATCTGTCCTCTGACACACGTTAGATCCCATTTTAACCTTTTGAAACAACAAAACCTTAAATCCCCATTTCTTGGTCCATAGTCGCCTCACCTTCCTGCTTGTTGGAAGAAGAAAATTCAGGTGGTGTATCAGGTAATGACCTTTGCAAATTAACAGGTAACTGCTCATTAACCCGAAACCAGACCTGCCACCATGGTAAATTAGCCAACATTAGCAATCCTATGGTCACAACACATGCACCGCCTAAGAATGCCATCGACACGGATGATCTAAGACCAACCTAAATTCATGGAGATGAATGTCCTATCAAGCAAAGCGCTTGCCTGCGTGATATCTGGTCTGTCATCTGGTCGAGCTTGAAGCATGTCTCTGATTAAGTCTACAATGGATGAACTGTATTTAGGTGAATCAGGGATGCGATAGTTTCCATTAAGGACTTGAAGCTTGGATTCTCCATCAAATGCACTCCTGAAGTAGCATATGCGAAAGAGAAGACACCCAAGAGCCTAACATTTTTAAGAGGGTTGAGTTGCAGTTAGTCTTGAAACATTTTGAAGAAGTCATATTATCAAAGAGATGGGTGGAGTCCCCCTAACGTACCCATAAGTCCACTTTTTCATTGATGGCTTCTTTCAGAAACAGATCCCACATCTAAAGTGCGTTAATGGAACATGATTAGAAACTATTTTCATCACATAAGACCAGTTGTATTTGAGAAGACAAATTTCAACTTACCTCAGGAGCCCTATAGGCAGGAGTTGTGTACTTTCTGATATTATCTTCCTCAATCCCCATTTCTTCTGGTTTCTCAAAACGCTTGTGATTGGTGGATACGCTTCCAAAGTCACACAATTTCCACAAGCCATCCGAAGCTAATAGAAGATTTTCGGCTTTCAAGTCTCTGGAAAATGGAGGGGAAAAGAAATCATTCATAACATTCCACAAAGTATTATCCAAGTACGCACTGTACAAGCTCCTTAAACTCTTCCAAGTCACACCCAAAGAAAACAAATTTGACCATATCAAATGGTAAAACTGAAAAAGGTATTTATCAAAAGAGGATACTTACTCAAGGCCTTAAGAACAATAACATGAGAGAAAAACAATATTTGTATATTTAAATATGAATTCATGGCAAATAGAGATAAAATAAAGTGTAAGGCTACACGGAAATATAAGTTTCTATTAATGTAAATACACATTATATAACCCACAGTCCTATAAGAAAAATAACAGTACTCATCAAAAAGAAAAGAAAAGGGGAGGAAAAAAAAAACTGCGGCAATGATGAAGCAGAATTATAACAATTATTACAAAAAAAAACCCTCAAAAAAAGTTCATAAGAAACTTAAAAAACTATAAATAAGAGAGAAAGCTGACTTTGACAAAACATCATATCCAAGTGGCTGTCAATTTTACCGGTGAGCAATAGGTGGCGATTGGCAATGCATTGCAAAAACTGCATTGCATATATCCCTGAAGATCAATAAAACCTGTTGCTCCTCAAAATACCCTGTTCCCCGGCTCTCCAGCACCTGCACCAGAGACTTCTCACAGAATTCCATCACAAGGAATGCTTCTTTTGTCCTACCCATGTCAAAAATTGCTTGTGCATAAAGTGTGACAACATTAGGATGCCCTTTCAATGACTTCATCACTGAGATCTCCTTCTTGACCAGTCCAAGGGATTCTTCATCGTTGCATATAATGTGCTTCAAAGCAAACCGTTTTGACATGTGCACAGCATCACGAGCCAAGTAGACACAAGAGAACCCCCCTTCAGCGACGGCCTTTTGAACATTTATTTTAAGATTGCCAACATCTATAGTGCGTCCTTCAAGCCCAGCCGGCTCTTTATGTGTGAATGGCCTAAATCTCCACATCTTTTATTTGGGAAAAAAAAAAAAAAAAGACACATTAGAATGCTACATATGTAAATAAATTAACACTAAGAGTAGTACTATCCCCAGAATTTAGGACATGGAAGTTCTGTTTTTACAAAAAAATATCAATATTGTACATAGATCAAATCATCGACGGTAAGCAAAATAATGGGCTTCATATTGCCAGTTGTTGGCTGTGCCATTTAACTCCATCCTCAACATCGGTTAATTCAAACAAACCGATCAGTTAACTTCAAATTTATGAAACAAAGGAGTGGCATGTGCAATAATAACACGAAATTCTCTAAAACAGCCACAAAAAAGATGAATTTAGTGCTGAAACCTTTTAATGTACAACATGGCAATATTCGATTGCCAAGCACACTTTCATATGGCAAAACAATGTGACTTGATAGTTCTTATGCATCCTTCATTGAGTAATAGCTATTCGAGAAAACTGCATTTCATGATATTCAATAAAATAATGGCCGTCAGTGGTTTAGAGGATGCGAATCATAGGCAAGGAAACCGTAGCTATCTTACCTCAACTTGAACGATTTTTCCCAAAGAATCTTGAACCCAAAACTCAGCTAACAACAAAAGAAAGCACCTGACACTCGATTGAACGTCAACTAATCGTCTTCGATCTGTGCCAACATCCAACACCATATCATCTCAAAGATCGCAATGTTCATCCAAAAGCAGGAAAGAAAAGAAAGGCGATATCATCCCTCACGATATAAATAAAAGACAAATGAAATCCCACCATTATTTCGTTAAAAATATAAAAACTTTTGTACAATAATCATAAGAAAGCTCCTTGCTCCACCTGTCTCAGGCAGATTAGAACTCAAGAAGTTCGTGACGAAAGCCAACCAAATCTTATCCACGATTAACAACACAGCAAATGGAGATCCAAGGGCTATCTCAGCTGATCCAAAAACGCAATGCACGGTCTATAAAACTGTAACTTCCCCTAGAGATTTCACGCCGAGGTGGGGGAAGCAAAGCTAAAATTGCGAAAGCGCGGAGGGTATATATAGGTGCATTAATTACAGCGAAAGCTGGAAGGAAGATCGAGACGGGGAGGACGCATGAATTGAAAGCACGAGATGAACGAGATTAGGGACCGTACAAGCATGTGATCTGATGGAATCGACGGTTAAAGATCCGGGGGAGGGGTGGCGGTGATTGCATAAGTTAGGACCCACGTTGTTTCGGTGGGGACTTGGAGGACGTGAACAAGACTTTTCCCGCCATTAAAGGGATCAGAATTCACAGCGAGCGAGCGAGCGGTTACAAAACGGTACTCACCTGATCTGAATTCTGAGCACAACGTGGTGGCACGTCATTGGATTGCTAGCAAATTCTCTCTCAGTTTTTTTTTGTCAGCTACTTATTTACTTTTTAAAATTATGATTAATATAAAAAAGCTAGTTTTACATTCAATTTAGTTCTAAATATAAAATCTTAATTCATTCCATTTATCATATTTATCTAATTTTTTAAGATAGTCCTTATGGTAATTATAATATTAAATATTTTATTAAATGATTTTAGAGAAAATAACATCTATTTAGTATAAATAACAAATTTAATTATTTTTTAAGCTATTTAAATTAATGAATTAGTTTTTATATTAAAAATTGAGGTAGTACTATATTTGTTTCATTTTTTTTTGGGTACCAATGATGATCCATAGAACATGCAATTAATAACATGAAGTCTTAAGTCAGTCTTTAAGATCTCATTTGGTACGAAGCATTTAAAATGAGAGGCAGGTATTGAGATTATCATTGAGAAAAATCATTAAAAAAATATTTAATAGGAATAATTGCTTGTTACATGGGATTGAACAGGCCGACGTATGTGAGATTGGGGACTATCATGAAGGGAGAGGATATTCCCAAATCTTACTTTCATAATTTGTCTAGTCTCATCTAATAAGTAATCTTTCATGCTAAACACTCTTATAATAGATTTTTTTTCAATTCCAATCTTAATCCCTATCCCTCATTTTCAACACTTTGTAACAAATGAGACCTAAGTGATTATTTTAAAATTTATCTAGAATTATTTGGAGCCTTTCTTTTTTTCAGTATAATTAAAATTTAGATGAATTAGGCCTCAGAAAGTCATATGAGTTAGGATATGCCTCTAAGCTTTTTACTAAATAAACCATTTTTGTTGGCTAATTGGAGCACCTTCTTGGACAACGAAAGACACTTCAGGTCGAAGGCCCAAAATGCAAAACTTGGGGACAAAAAACCCATAGAAAATTAAGACCCAGAAAAGCCCACAATAGGGTATCGTCGCTTTAGAGAATTCTTCAACTTTATCCGCAACCCTTGAATAAAATACTGCAGAGTATATCAAGAGAGTTGGGTCCAGTGAAAAAAAAGTCAACGATCCAATGTTTGCAGTGTTCGTGCATAACAGTATCTTGAGTAGAATTATTTTTAATAAAAAAATATTTATGTCTAACAAAAATATCGTATCTAATAAAAAGATATCTATGTTTAAAAAATATTGCAAGGTATCAAATTGTCATCGAACGAATCTATTAAAGCAACAACAGATTGCACTATGAATAAAACATAACTGTATCATCCCTTTCAAATCTCTTATGGTGCACATTCTGGTCAAAAAAAAAAAACTCTTATAATGCACGAGATGGCGCATTTAATTGTACAGAAAAGTATAAACAATATATATTGTACTCCGTAAAATCATATTTAGTTTATTTGTAACCCTCTTGTAAATTTGAGAAGTAGCAATGAGTAGATCTTGTAGTGTTATTTGTAATCATGCGGAGTCAGGACCATATAAATATCACATATTTATGAGAGGTTATAAATTCTTATAAAAAATTATATGAGGGTATTGCTATCAATTATTGCAAAAATATCTTCTTTTGGGGGGTCGGGGGACGGGGGACCAAGCAATTATTCACTAAAAGGGACGTGGGGAAATCAAAAAAGGCTTTGAGTTTTGTCGGTTACTTTTTTAATCAAACTTCTATTCATGCCTGAATTCCATAGAAAGAATAACGTTTAATTTTTATGGCTTTGGAATAACAGGAGTTTTTCGTTTATATTTTTTTTTCTTATATTGAGTTTTAACATATAAATTAAAAAAAAACGATTATACACTCTGTTGTATTTTTCCTACGATCCTAAATAATAAAATTTATTGTGTAATGTAATTTTTATTATAAAATAAGTCTTATTTTAAAATCCGTAACTCTATACCGTTTTTTGAAACATTTACTTATTTGATGCACCTGTAACTTCAAACTCAAATAGAAGGCAAGATGTAGCATTTGTTTAAAGATTGTTTGGAATGATTTATAAACTGGAATAAGCAGTTTTTTTAATTATTAATTATTACGTATAAAATGCAAAGTAAAGTAAGTATATGAGATGATAATTTTCTTCTTAAAATCAGATTTCAAGCCATCCTAAACGTTTTGATGCGCGTTTCGAAGCTCTGGTTAAAACGTCACTTTTATCACCGGAAAAAGAAAACGTCACTCTGTGAGCTTTTAAATTAAACAGAAAAACTCATGGTAAAAAAAAAAAAACAGAAAAACAAACAAAACTAGCTCCGCAAGAAGGAAAGGATGGAATCATAGAGGTTCTTTTCAGATAACTCGTATATAAACAAATGGATGGTGCAGGGTGCAGACTGAAGACTCAAAAAGCATGAATTCTTATTAGTTTAAGCGGGGAACTTTGTTAGATAACCCATCTCGAGAAAAATGGCATCATTATAAGGGACTTAGTGGCAGAAGGGTGTAACTTTTTTCCGTTTCCTTTTCAGTAAGAAAAAGACAAACGCTTCCTTGTGCTGCTAGCTTGCTACTTTCTTCAACACATAATAATATAACTATACACGCGTTTTCTTGCGGAAGGAAGAGTTTGAGAATCAAAATTCAAACGCGGAGGAACAATGTGGTGGTGGGGTAGGGGTTTTCTTCTCCTAGTGCTTTCTTTTGCACTTTTCGATTCGGTAGCTTCTCTGAATCGGAGCAGTTTCCCGGCGGATTTCTTGTTCGGAACCGCATCTTCGGCTTATCAGGTGTTGTTATTTGCATCTATCACTTCTTTTACTCTCTATCATTGTACGGTTATTTATTTGCATCTGGCTGTCCAAATGGTTGAATCTTATCTTGCGGCTTACTTTCCTCTCAACATTGGTTAGTTATTTGCGTTTTTCTTTGTAACGGGATTCTGCTCTTAATAGTTTGCTTCTGTAAATGAAGTATGAAGGTGCAGCGAACGAAGGAGGTAGAGGCCCCAGCATATGGGACACCTTCACTCACAGATACCCCCGTATGAATATCTCACCCTTGTTCTGGGCCAACTAGCAGCTTCTCATTTATTTTTGTTCCCTACATGGCAGAGTAGTACCATCTGCTTTCACCGAACTGTTTTATGCGTGCGCATATGAGTTTCAATCTTTCATATGGCTTTGTTTAGGTGGGGAAAAAAAAAAGATTAGAGCATGATATCAAGGAACTTGATGCCCTTTGTTTAATGACGTAGTCTTCTGTTCTAACTGAAATATTTTACTAGGTTTGTGCATAGATGAGATTGAATCCTTCCTGTTTAGAGTTAGAAATGATAGCAAGGAACTTGATGTCTTCTTCTTAATTAAGTAGCATTCTGGCATGGTTTTTCTTGAAATCCCAAGATAGCTGATTAACATCCTCTGTTTTCAGTGAAATATTTTATGAAGATTGGTCTATGTGGGATTCATCTTTTTTAGAAGCAAGATTAGAAATGATATCAAGGAACTTGTTCTTCTTTTTCTTGATTAAATTTTATTATCAAACAAACTTAAAGGCCTGAGGGTTGAGACATTTTGTTGGTTCTTTAGAAAGCGTAGCTGACCACAGTAATGGAGACGTTGCTGTTGATTCATATCATCGCTACAAGGTACTTTCATTCCTAAATATTTCAAATTTTAAGTTGCTGGACTTCACTTTCGACTGATTACATATTTTCTTGCATAAAAAATTGTTAGGGAGATGTGGCTTTGATGAAGGATGTTGGATTTAATGCGTACAGATTTTCCATCTCTTGGTCCAGAATACTACCCAGTGAGAACTGAGAAAAACTGAGCTTGCCTGCTTTTATTCCTTTTATTCTCCTCAGATTGAATGTTCAATAACTGATTCCCCCCTTTTTGAGATGCGAGAGGTTAATTTGGCTTGTTAGTTTGTACTATTTTATTAATCTCATGATTGAATTATTTTCTAGGGGGACACCTTAACGGAGGAGTGAACAAAGAAGGCATTGCATATTACAACAATCTCATTAATGAACTCTTATCAAAAGGTCAGCGCAGAGAGAGAGAGAGAGAGAGAGAGAGAGAGAGTGTGTGTGTGTGTGTGTGTGTGTGTGTGTGTGTGTGTTTCTCATTCGTTATATTTATATCTCAAATCAAACCCAATTTCAATTGAATTTCTTGTTCCTTATACCAGCAGGCATACAACCTTTTATAACACTATTTCACTGGGACCTCCCTCAAGCTCTTGAAGATGAATATGGTGGTTTTCTGAGCCCCAAAATTGTGTAAGCAGTAGTTATAATAACATGGTTTTCTATAATGCATGGAACCCCATCTAATTCTTTTCTAACTGCTGGAAACATTCACCCTTTGATTTTGTAAACAGGCAGGATTTTGCATCCTATGCAGATATATGCTTCAAAGAGTTCGGTGACAGGGTAAAGCACTGGATTACTCTTAATGAGCCACTTTCCTATATTGGTGGTTATGCAAATGGATGCTCTAAGAAGTGGGAAGGCCCGAACTGTAATAAAGTGGGTGATGCTAGTACTGATCCCTACCTGGTTGCCCACTACCAGCTTCTTGCTCATGCTGCAGCTGTCAAAGTCTATCGGGCGAAGTACCAGGTATGCGTTTTCATGGTTTTAAAATCCAGCAGAAATCAAATTACATTTCATTTTCATGAACGAACTTTGTGGCTTGGTTAACATAACGATCTTTTTAATAGATTTCCCAGAAGGGTCAGATAGGGATAACCTTGAATACTGCTTGGGTTATGCCTCTGACCCCATCTAATGCTGACAAAGAGGCAGCAGCTCGGAGTCTTGCTTTTTCATATGACTGGTAAATGTCCGTCTCACTTGAACATAATTTCCTTGTTTCAACTTCCTACCTGTCATGTATTTTTTTCAACTCTTCTCTCTTGCAATTCCTCATGAGTGATCTGGCCTAGCACTCATCATATCTTGCTTTTGAAGGTTCATGGAACCCCTGCATTCTGGTGCATACCCTGCTGTAATGGTTCAAAAAGCTGGTGCACGATTGCCAAAGTTTTCTAGAAGCGAGTCCTTGATGGTTAAAGGGTCCTTCGATTTCATAGGTTTGAACTATTACACCTCATATTATGCAGCTGATACACCATGCCAACATGAAAAGCAAACCTTCTCCACAGACGCTTGCGTTAGATCTACTAGTAAGCTATGAAGTTGAACCTTTTGTCTCTCTCCACCTTCTTTTATTGACTTTGCAAATACCTTTGCTTACTTATGATCCCTCTTGGTGCTTCAGCTGTAAGAAATGGAGTTCTTATTGGTCCAAAGGTAATTATCTAGAGATCATTTTTTTACTCGGTTTAAGACAGTTTAGTTCATGAAATTGAATGTCGTCTTTAAGACTTTTTTTGTAGCCAAAGCCTGAGGTGCTACTTCAAGGAGGTTGGTTTAATAACTTACTGGTTTAAAGGGTGGATGGCTTAAAGTTATCACTAAGGCGGTGTTTGGTATCCAGGCATTTTAATTTTCCAAGTTCTTTAAACGTATTTAAATGATAAATATAAAATATTGGATCTATATTATACCCGAAATGCTCCAAACATTTAAAGAACTATATGCCAAACGTCACCCAAATGGGTTTATATTTCTATAGTAAAAACCAAGTAAAATCTGGATTGGGTTAATATTTTTCGGGCTTATAGGGTTGACTCCCTCAAAATAATTAACTCTTGGGGTCACAAATGCATTATTTGTCCCGAACTGGTTCAATTTGAGAAAGAAATTGAGAAGTTAAATAATTTTGCAGGCTGCCTCGGACTGGCTCTATGTCTATCCACGAGGAATTCAAGAGCTACTACAATACACAAAGGACAAATTTAACAATCCTGTCGTTTACATAACGGAAAATGGTAAGATTAGCCACTACTTTCCCTCTGACCGTAAAGGCTTGGATTGGATCTTTACCCAGTCACACCTCCACTGTCTTGTTCTCCTCCTCATCAGATTTCTTTGTTATATTCATAGGAATTGACGAGGCCAATGATGGTAAAAGGACTCTTGATGACAAAATGAGGATGGACTACTTCAGAAGCCACCTTCTGTATGTTCAAAGGGCCATCAGGTAAGTGCAAAAATAAATCAGTTCAGTTGCAACCTAAGAAACACGCACATAAAATACAACACAGTAAGATACCAAGTGTTCAGACACAATTATAGGCACATATATAAAAGAAATTACAAAAACTCATTGAATTGGATATTTTAGGTGTTGGAATTCATTTGCTCACCTACCTTTTGACTTTCTTTTTATTGACCCATTGTTCTCTCTTGTTAACTTCTTGTGTTCAGAATCAGATGTAATTTGAAGTATTGTGTTTGTATTTTCCTATACAAGTGTCTTACACAAAACTAAACATATGCAAGGTTGTAGTTTTGATGCTTCCTATTTCCTTAACTTCGAATTTTTGTCAGGAATGGTGTTAGGGTGAAGGGCTACTTTGCATGGTCATTCTTGGACAATTTCGAGTGGACTGCCGGATACACTGTTCGCTTCGGAATGGTGTATGTAGACTACAAAAACGGGTTGAGAAGGTATCGTAAAAGATCGGCTTTATGGTTCAAAGTTTTTCTCCGCGGATGAAATGTTATGATCAGGCCATAAGCAGGGCCACTATATATACATTTGATATCTAACAATTGGTCCTAATATTAAGGCTTCATTGTTATGTGGAGGGAAGTTCATGCCTTTCCTTGATCTGTTTCTGTACTTTGTGGTCCATTGGCCACCCCTTAATATGATCAGACCTGAGTTGATCTGTTAGTAATAGTTGACGTTGAGACTTTTCAGCATTATGAATGCGGCTACAAGTGCTACCTCTTACATGAACTCAAACCCTCAAACCCGAGACTTTATACTTAAACGGTCTCAGTTCCCTTTGCTAGAACCCATGCCGATGTGTCTTTATAGCCTATTTAACTTAGGCAAATAACCAAGGTTGTTTATGATTCCTTAAAGATAAAGTTTGCTATTGGGCTGTTATGCCATATCGCCAAAGCGGTTGGGGAATTAAGGCGTATGACCTTCCCCGTTGCAAGAATTAAGCCAAAATTATGAGATGCATTCAATGGAGGATAAAGCTTTGTGAACTAGTACAACTGAGTTGGCACCAATGGTTTTGTAATCTAGTTGCATGAAAGGCTATCTGTAAGAGGTTAGGAGTTTAATTTCACTTATAGTATTGAGAGGGTGTTTGGCAACATCAAAAAGTGTTTTTAAAATGTATTTTTTTTACAAAATGAGGTAAACTCCTTCATATATTTATTCTGTATACTATAAAAATATTTTTAAAACTATGATTTGGTTTCTATCTAAACATTCCTTTACTCATAAGTGACCTCTCTCTAAATTCAAAGATTAAAAGGAAAAAAGTGAAACTGCGTTAACACTAGCTTGAGCATGAATCTAAAGTAGCCCATGTTTAGTCTCAAGATTTATGTTCGTCCCAAAAAAAAAAAATGCAAGTCTCGTCATTTCACTTGTTTGTGAATTTATTAAGTTGATTCTAAACTTGTGTGTATTTTCTTCTACTTTCCCCCTAATGAAATTCGAAACTCAAGAAGTCTATAAATTTGTTTGCACAAATGACAAAATAAATATGCTATTCGACCTTAATTAATTTATAAAAAATTTATTTAACTTACAGATATACTACCTCCAAATTTATTTATAAGACATTGTTTGTAAATTATAAATCAGGTTTTATAATTAGAACCGGTAGTATTATTTGGTGAGTTTTTAATCTCTTAAAATTTCAAGACAATATGTCTAGCTAAATTTAAATGTCTTTTTTTCCCTAAAGTATCTATGCTTTTTGGGGGGGGGTTAAATGATGAATTTTCCCTAAAAGATACTTAATTTTTTTATTGGCATAATGTTCCTTTCGAAATTTAAAAAATGATGTGAAGTTACTTCATATAAAATAACATTTGATATAAAGTTTTTAGAGTTATTAATGTTCAAATGGCACTTTGCTCAAATAGATACAGGAGATTGATTTTTAGTTTCTGGTTTTTGTTGTTGTTAGTTTTTTTTCCAGCTTATAAAAAAAAGTTATTAATGTTCAAATCGTCAGTGGAGAAAAATCCAACAATCTATTATCAATCAATTTTTCGATTCATGTCTGGGAAAAATTCCTATTAATTTAATAAATGAATTATGACCGTCAAAGCTTTACAAAGGTGTCTTCTTTATGTCTATGTAGCTGTTTAGATTAGTTGTGAAATAAGTATGCGAAATGAGCATAAAAGCAAAAACACTCATTATAAATTGATTCAAGCACCAATTTGAATTAGTTTATTCTAAGTAATTTTACACTGTTATGCGTGAAACATTATCTAATAAAGATAAAATAACTTTTTTAAAAAAATTTGATTCTAGGGTTTTCCAGACATGCCATAAAGTGGGCCAAAAAATAATCTCGAAGTAGGGCACCGGCAGGACCTCGTTCCCATAATATCTTTGAAAAAATAAAAAGAAGACAATATATATTGAATTCCGGGTCTCTGACTTTGTGTCAGAAGGATATCTTTAAAATAAGAGATTTCTTGAAAATAAAAGATCTTTGTTTGAGTTTTTGAGGATGTTATTTTTTCCCCCTTAAAAAAGTCCCCATCTCTGTAAGGACCCGCTTCGTTTAATTGCAGTTTGCTTTTACAATACACTGCAGTGCAATGCAGTAGGTTGCAAAGCAATTTTGATTACTGATGATCTGTTTGGCATATTATAAAGAAAACATGGTAGATGATATTTATTATTTTCAATAAAACAAATAAAATTTATGAAATGACCTTTTTATCCCTTGACCAAAAAACAATCCTTCCCTTACCGAATGTTTCTTCCTCGACAAGACTGCTGATAAAATGCACACAACCTTCATTTCACTAGCTATTGAATTCATTATCATAACGGACTGAAACCATTAAAGCCAATGATAAAATCATTGATTAAGGCCACTATCATCATCATCAAAATTTTTACATCGTCATCAACCCAAATGAAAGATACTGTTTATAAAGTAAGAGACATTTGAATCAAAGAAGATAAGGGAAATAAAAAAACAAATATGGAAAGCAAGGATATGAAATAGAAAAAGAATTAGATTTGAAAACCCAAACAACACGCAGATCAAAGAATGTAGAGACAAGATCATCATTGGATGGATGGGAAGGCAGAGATATGAGATTTTTGAAGGAAGGATGTTGGAGGCTGATGATATAGCAAGAGGAGAATAAACCGGGGGTCATGACGAATGCAAAGCATAGGGGCAGAAACGGGGTAGAGACAGTGGTGGTGCTAGGTGTCGAGTACGACGGTGTTCATGGTGGTTAGGTCATCAGCGGCAGCAGGTGCTAGGTGTGGCGGAGGTGTCCACAATGGTTAGCGTCATGGTGGGTGCTGGGTGCAACAACATTCATGGTGGTCGGCTGCAACGGAGGGTGGGTGATAAAGAACGAAGGGGACTACTGAAACAAATAGAGGGCAAATGTGACTTTTTCAAATATGCATTGGATGGTAATGAGTATTCACATGGAGGAGGTATGAATGAGGATTATCAATTTTTTGGTAATTATCATTATCATGGTAAATCCTATTACCAAATTAAAAAGCAACCAAACATTCTCTTCTTAGTAATGTAATGTTAATTGCCATTACATGTATGCAATAAAATTGAACTAAACGGGCTTTAAGTCTTCAAAGTCTACCAAATTCTGGGCTAATACTTACCCTCTAACTTTAAAAAAATATTTACAAAAATGCTTATATACCATTCACTAAAAGCATTGATGATCATAAATGAATTCACAACTTCATGGGGTTATAGGCTAAATTTTTAGAAATTTAACCAGTTTTTTGGCAGGGCACTTTTGAGATTATCAATACATTATTAATGCATCAATACATGTTATAGATTTCTTAGTAGCATGTTGCATTTTAATAGAGCATAAAACTTACAATTAATTTATCAGATTATCCTCGATATATGATGATCCAAATTTTTTAGTCCATAAGATTTTTAAATAATTTGAAAAAAGAAGAATAACTGCAATATCCCAGATAAATTATTCCATCACACCCATCCATAACAACTTTAGGGGTGTTAGGGTGAGATGAAAAATATTTTTAAAAAATACTTTCACACATATGTAGACAATTTTTTTTATACTGTTACTTTTTACTACCTCCGGTCCTAATTATAAGAGTTGGTTGACTAATTTGAGAGATTAAAAAAATAAGTTAAGTTAATTATTTGTAATAAATAGTTATTGTCTTTCTTAAATATTCTTGCTAATAAGTGTATTGGCTTGAACTGCTATTGTTAGAAGGACTATTTCAAGAAAAAATATATAAATAGAAGAAACAAAGTGAATTAAAATCTTATATTTAGGACCAAAATAAAAATCAAATAAATTATTATATTAAGGATCGATATAGTATATCATAAAATTATTTTTAAATTATGTTATTTAAAAAACCCTTAAAAGGCACACGTCAATACTTTATTTCGTGTGGGACCCATCAATAATAACTCGCGGTCCCATTTTCTTCAGTCTCCAATTTGAGGGCCCTATTCCCTCCGCTCTCATCATTTAGTTTCCGGTCTTTACTCTTCTGGTCTCTGGATTGGGCAGGAAAACTTTGAGATATTACAATTTTCAGGCATTTTTTACTAAATAAAATATCAATTTTTATTATTTATACTCTCGAATCCTTCCAATTCAAAATATGAGTATCAAATAATAATTAAATTACATAACTCAAAAAGTTGGTTAAAGATAATAAATATATACTCCTCCAATCCTTAATATATGACTTAATTGTTAAATTAATTTTGGTCATAAATATAAAACATATTTTACATATTTATCAATTTTTTTAAATTACTGTCATGGATATTCTCTCAACCACAATTAAGTAAGTGAGGGAAAAAGGATATTAAAAAAGATGATTATGGTATTTTAGAAAAAAACATGTCATATTTTTTATAATTAACTAACTTATCTAACTTCTTTAATATAATCAAATTAGTTAAATAGGTCTTATATTAAGGATCAGAGGAGTATAATATGTAACTTGGATAAGTAAGAGAGAAAATGAGTAAAAAAGAGATGATAGAGTGATTGGGGAAAAAAAAGAGATGAGAAATATTTATAATTAATTTGTGTGAAAATAACAAAAATAAATTAAATGATCACACAAATCCAAATCATACCCTTAAAAAAAAATAAGGCCGTTCAAAAATTCGATGCTTTTTGTTAAAGAAGAGATTTAATAATTTTATTTTGAATTTAAAGTAGTAATTTATAAATGCTGTATTCTCCTGTACATTTAATATTATGTATAAAACAAAATATTTTTTCCTTCAAATTTAATATTTATATCTTTATTCATCTATCTTTGTGATTCTTTAACACCAAATATCAATGAAATTTTAAATAATATGACACGTTTCACCCATTAACAAACAATACTCCCTTCATTTTTATATACAAAGTAATTTTTAACTCATTTATTAAAATAAAAAAGTTTTATTAAATTGAGTTGATGTTCATAAAAGGAAAAATAGCAAATAAAGACTTTCTAATATGTGAAATTGTGATTTGTGACTCTCAATTTGAAAAATAGTAAATAAAGACCCAGTTTCATATTGCAAATATGAATTATTGGTGAAATATATGAAATGTCCCTCAGCCAAGTTAAGATTTGGTTTACTAAAATTGTTATTCACTAAAGTGAATTTATCATTTTCTATAGTCAATTTGTCATTTGGCATACCTTCAGTCAAGTT